ACTTCCCACAAAAGACGACAAGAGGCATGTGATGAGGAGCTGTCAAGCGGCGCTGTCATAATGACGAGCCTGAAACCCACGGAGGAGCAGAAATCAAAGGCTCGTGCACGCAGGGCCCGGGTCCCGGACGGGGCGCGCAGAAGGTCGGAGCCCCTTTAAAAATATTTATAATGAAGGGCTGGCATCAGGAGCATGTCAGGGCGAATTAGCAGACACGGGCGTCAGCGCGCTGATTCAACCCTGCAGGCTAACTCTGCCTCTACCTGACTCTTCAATCTCTCTCAGCGTCTGTCTGCGTCTCAGTCAAGAAGCCAAGGCCTGACATGAAAGTCAGGATGCAGGCCTGATAAACTTTGCATATTCCCCAAGTACAAGAGCAGGAGAAAAAGAAATGGCAAGATTAAACATGTGCAACTCAGTAGGCGGGCATAAATAAAAATTTTAAAGTTCCAGCGCCTGGCTTCATTTGCATTTGGCTTTGGAGAGCAGAGTCACAGAGAACAAGCACCCTGTGTGAAATTCTTGTCTTTGTTTTGACTCACAAACAAGTGTTTTTGGTTGCTGTCTTTTCTTCATGTGTGTAATGATGATTCAACAAGCTGCGACTTTCATGGATCTTGTTCAGCGGGAAATATTTGTTGTGTTATCTGCTGGTGTCAGTTTTTAGTTTTCAGCGAAACACGGCTTTCTCTTTTGTAATGGGGGGATCCTGCGAGCGGAGCATTAATCTGCGTTTTAGCCAGAGGAAACGTGCCGTCGCGGGGCTCGTTCCTTGGGCGTCGCTTTGATCAAAGGCCCGGTGGAAAAAACCTCCTCGAGGGCGGAGAGAGAAAGACGCTTGATCTCTGCGCTTAATTAGCGGCCCCGCTTCTTAATTGTTCATTTTAAGAGAACGGGGGGAGCGTGCATGTGGCAGCCTGGTGCGCTGATCATAATTCATGACTTGAAGCCTTGATTTGAGCTGAAAAGCCGCTAAATGGTTTCACTGAGAGCCTCGTGAAATCTGTTGGTTTGCATTATTTATGGATGATCTGTTGTAGTCTTTTTATCTTTCGGATTTTCAGATTAATTGCTGCTTCCTGGAAAAGAAACGGGCGTGTCAGGTGATCTATGTTGAGTTTTCTGTCCAGTTGTTTGAGGAAATGGCTGCTCATGAGTAAGTGTTGAACAGGGTAACTGCTCTGTGTGGGTTGGTTGCAGGCGATGGTGACATCAGGGTTCGGCGGCGTCCAGATGAGTCCAAAAAGAGAGATAAAGACAGAAGAATGTCTCTGTGTGCTCGACAAAAGATCCAACCTTTCGCTCCCTGAGAGAAAACCAAGCGACCGACCTGATCTGCTGTTTCTGCTCATCACCATTAAAACAAAACCTGAGGCAGGATGCAGCGGGTGGGACGGGAGGGTAACCCGGGGTGAGGGTGAGGAGGGGGACACCCATCAGCCCCCATCAGCTCTAGGGGTTCTGCAGAGGGGGCGGGCAGATTATGTTCTGGGGTTTTTATGATGATTTATTAGAACAACAATAAATATATTGGAGAATATTGTTATATATATATTGCTATTTTAATAACTATCAATACATCTCTTTAACAATTGTTCCAACAATAGCGGCGACTTTTACAATTAAACGGTTTCTGAAGTCCTTAATGATGTCCTCTTTTTGCCAAGGTATGAATAAAATGTATCTTCAAAAGATAACATCTCTTTAGACATTGTGTCTGGTCTACGGCCCCATGGAGCAGCTCTGAGCAACATGTGAGGAGGACTTGACCGTCTTAATCAGGAGATACAATGTGTAACACTGGGGAGGATCTATTGTCAGTAAAGTGATATGATATTACAATATAAGGTATGTTTTCCGGTTCTATGAGTAGTACATTTCTTTGTTTTTGTTTTTGTTTTTTTAATAAATGAATACAATACAGAATAATAGGACAATCCTATGATGTACAGTATTTTGTTAAATACAATCCAACATTTCACTTAAGTAATATCATTAAAACCCAGCACAGTTAGACAAACAAATAAAAAAATATTGCTCAATTTAGCTGAATTGTAAAAGCCACAAAGTGAAGCCCCCACTCTTACTGCTGAGCTGAGCCAAACAATGTGGATCTTTAAAAAGAGCCACTTTAATTTCTGCCTTGTGATTGGAAAAAGAGGGTAAAGCGAGTAGGTTGTAATCTGCAACTACGCTGCTAGATGCCACTCTATCCTACACTGGGCCTTTAAATTGGTTAATCCACTGTTAGTGGCACATATTTAAAAAGTGAAACCCTCATGCGTGCATCCTGAGGTGAAGGTTAAATGAACTGTACGTACACAGAACATTTCCTGTCCTCTGACCACTCAAAGTGCTTTACACTACATACATTCACCCTCTCACACTGACGGTACAAGCTGCCATGCAAGGTGCCACCGGCCCATTGGGAGGAGCCAGGGTTTGAACCACCAACCTTCTGCTTTGTGGAGTTTACAGATATTACACTAACATTTTGTCTGATAGAAACTTCTTGTTTCTGCAGTCTGGGGTTAATTAACCAGCTACAGGATCACAGTACAGCAATTGACCAGAAATATTCTTTCTGTAAAGAAATCTTTCTGAAATGTCTCTGTGATTGTATTTAGTAGATCCTCCGCTGCTGGATTCACCTTCACAGTCCTTCAGTTGTTGTTTTTTGCCGTCCCAGCACCGGCGGTGGGAGGAGGAAGATGGCGGCTGACGAGTGCCGATCGGCAAACGAGCGGCGGCTGTAATTAACTCTCCGGTCTGCGGCTCCGAGGAGGGGCTGACATTTGGTTCATGTTGGAGTGGCCGTCGTGGTGATTTCTGCTCGCCGTCTGAAGGTTCGGGGAGTGTGTGTGTGTGTGTGTGTGTGTGAGAGAGAGAGAGAGAGAGAGAGAGAGGGCGATGATGGGATTGAAAAGGAAGGCCGGCGATGGGATTATGGGAGCGTGACAATTGAGGATTAGCTCTGCTTTAAACAAATAACACTCGTGCAGGTCAGCAGATCAACACTCAGTGTGGAGAGCTGAGAGAAGAGCTGCTGCTGACTTCATTAAGACATCTATCTATTTATCAATCTATCTATCTATCTATCTATCTATCTATCTATCTATCTATCTATTGCTTTTTTCAATAAAAAACTCACATTAATGACTTACTGTGAAGCTGTGTATCTCACCAATGTAAGGTCCTTTATTGATTTCCTGATTTGTTTTTAGTTGCCACACATGGGAGCTGCCAACAGTCATTCTTGTTTCTTACAGTTTATGTGTGTATTTTTGAGCTGGAAAGATGCTGTAAAATGAAACACATCACTTCTGCTGTTAATTCTGACATCAAAACCAAATTTATGAAAATCAGCATTTTGTGACCTGTGTAATTTCATGTGCTGATCAAATGTAACTGTATCTGAAGTCCTGTATCTCATGGCTTACAAATGGAATTTTTAACCTTTACAACCTTTAAAACAGCATTTTTGTCCACTTGGGGGCAGCACAACAAGCTGTAACACAACACTGACATATTATCACCTCGTAAAACAGGTTCCTTTATAAAAAGGACATTAAAATATAAATTGAGGAGCGCAGAGAACTAGTCTCCATCAGCTGCCAGACAATCCAATATCTCAGTGCCAAACCATCGTCTGAGGATTTTTAAATGCAAAGTATTTGTTTGAATGGCGGCTAACAAACAAGCGTCACCTGAAATGACATTCTCGTCCCCAAACAACAACATTTTGAATGAAAATACTGAAATTATGATAATACATTTTACACTTCCTGAAATATTTTAGTTTCTTTATGAATTCATGAGTTATCTCATTTATAGATCTAAAATGTGGTGATAAGATAGTGAGCGGAGGTCAGATGAATGGTTAAAAAGCACTGCAATCGTGGATTGTTAAATATAAAATACATTCTGTATACAGACAGAGAACTGACTGTATAAGTTCCTAAAATATAAGGAAAACTCATCTCTGATCAAAATTCATCCAGATCTCTGGTTTTATACAAACTTCCTGCAGTTATTGTGTTCACTGTTTGGGCCCATTGTACAGTTTATTGTTATACATATTATAATATATAATAATATAATATAAAATATTCATAAAATATGTCACATAGTAAGTTTACTCAATGACAGATAAGGTCTCCCTTAAGGAGAAAGGTTGGGAACCAGTGGCCTACGTTGCTGTAATGTCATAATAAGTTACAGTTCAAACACCATCAAATCTGCTTGAAACAATGAAAACCTTCACTTCAAGAACAAATGTAGCCAGTGAAATTTCAGACTTCATATTCGATCAGGTTCAGTCTGAATGCTCTCACCAGCGTTCAGCTCGTCCAGCCTTCAGCTGCTGCTCGCTGTGTTTTAAAGAAACGAGACAGAGTGAGACATCTCGTCAGATCGTCTTCAAAGCTCCTTCACTGTCGATCTGACTGACTCTCTATGAGCCGCCGCACAATGCTATGGGACTGTGCAGGGAGACAGCTGATGTGTCTGTCTGTCTGTCAGTCTAACTGGAGATTATATAAAAACAGATCACGTGATGTCAAAAGGAAAAGACTCTCTCACCAAGAACGGTCCATTCGTCTGTGCAACCATTCCTGCTCCCCAGAGGAGGAACTCTTGACATTATAACGCTTCTTCTGGACTAGACTTCCTGGATCATATTTTATTAAGCTACACAACATGAATTGATTTGTGGCACACTGACTGAGTAACATACATTTTAATCTTTGGGCTCGGGGGAAGGTATTTTCAAAATCCAAGTGAAGTCTTAAAGGAGCATTTCACCCGTGGAAACATTAATATTTATTGAAAGTGGGTTATATATGTAGTCGAAATGTAACATACATTTTGAGTTTGGTGCCTATTTGACCGAGAAAAGACAGAAAGTGACTTTAGGGCGCATTTGTATCAAAGACAACAACTCCCACAATGCACAGCTCCGCAAGCCGCTCCCAGTAACACTATCAAGGACTACAACAACGTGAATGTAAACCATTTATTTACAGAAATATATCAACAACAACAACAATAAATATGTTAACAATGACAGTTGTAGTTCCTCCTGAGCGTCCTCAACGTCTCGGTGCCGCAGTACTGGCCATCTGGAGCTGGATACTGTCGGAGAGCCTGCACCACATCAGCGGGTAAAACAACGCCTCGACCCAATCTCTCGCCTTGCAGGACCCATTGCAGAAAGGCTGTTAGGCGATATTGTCTACAAGACATTGAGCACACAGTTAGAGATACATGGTCTTTGTGTTTAGCGTGCCACAGTAGTTAGCAATGCAACTGCAAGCTGTTTGTGCAGTAAAGAAGCTAATGTTAGTTCAGTTGGCTGACGTTACGTATTAACTGGGAATAACTTTGTGATAATACTTGAACAAACTGTGTACATACATGCCACATTGTTATAAGACAGAAGCACTTTACAGTCAGACGTCCGTGTGTCCGTAGGCGCACAGCGAGAGCACAGGCACCAGCAGTCCGCCCCAGCTCGAGCCAGTCCGGGCTCCTCGTCCGCGACAGGCAGGTCCTCTGCCTCGGCTGCAGCAGCCTCAGACGCTGCTCGCTATATAGCGGCTCATAAAGGTAGCCACGAACATCTGATTCTGTGAAACAAAAATGAGGAAGTAGTGTTTGTAGTCTCACCCCCTCTACAGAGATATCAGACTTCCTGCTTCCAATGACGCAAAATAACGATTTTTACATCATTGGAAGCAGGAAGTGACACACTAACATCCTTATTTCTCCCTCTCAGGGAAAGTGAGGGAATGATGCATGACCATTCAAAAATATGACTAATGATACAAAGCTTAATGCAAATGGGTGAAGTGTCCCTTTAAGTGATTGGTGTAAGAGTTCAGTTACAAGTCTTTCCTGATTTTGTAAACTCGGGTCTAAAGTCATCAAATTTGTGCCTCGAGTCTGACTCCAGTTCGAGTCATGTGAGTCCACCTCTCTGGTTGTTTGTTCATATCATGGCTGTAATGAACCCTGCAGTCTCTGGAGGAAACAAGCAGGTTTAAGTTGTTTTCATCATTTCCTTTCAAATAAATTCAGATACTTCAGTTTACTCTCAGAAAGGAAATCAGCAAATCCTCTGAGAGATTGAAAATGACTGAAGAAATGAATCAGTTATTAGCAGCTGTGCTCACACTCACAGAGAACAGGCTGGTCTGTGCTGAGGTGAGTCACAGCTGGACCTCCTCACAGAGCTGCTCGTTGTCCTCAGGCTGCTGGACGGATGGACAGGTAGACAGACTGATGGACGGACTGACAGTTATCCTCCAGCGTCGCTCTGCGGAGGTCGAACAGACAGACGCTCCAGCACTGACTTTGGATGGAGAAACGCTGCTCTGCCCTCAGCTGACAGGACGGGACGCCTTCAGGATCAGACCCTTCAGGTCCTGATCTGCTGAATCTGAAAACAACCTGCATCCATTTAGAATGCCAGAGAGGGTCCTTAGAGAAATCCCAAATTTTAAAATATCTTTTGGAGAGATGGTTCATAGTTGTCGCCTGTATGATCGGCTGTCAGTAACAGTTCTGCAGCTGGAGATCTGATTGGTCAGTTGTCAATACCTCCTTCCTCCCAACTGTTTAACAAATCATTATAGGCTCACTAGCACAATCCCAGCATGCTTTGCACCTTCAGGGAGGACCGAGAGAAATACTGCAGCCTCTCTCCTCTTTATGATCATCAGATGAATCCTAAGTCATAAATCTCTTCCCTCTTTTACCGAACAGTCTTTTCTCTCTTTGCACCGTATTTAATGTTTTATGGGACATAAAAGCTGTACAATAGGCTAATGTTCTTATCAATATTATTACTGAATGATAATAAATCTGAAGAGGGGTGGTACACTCAGAGGAGGTCTGGAATAAAGGATTGTGTACAGCTGCTGTGGGTTTGGTGGCCTCACGCTTCATTTAGAAAATACTGACTCTGGATCTGTGAAACTCTGCTAATCACTAAACCAAACACTCCCACAACTTTAACTGTATTCAGAACCCACAGACGAAGCCAGTATGTGGTTCATACTGCCTTCTATCGTATCTGCAGAATGAAACTACCTAACTATAGTTCAGCTAATGGAGTGTGCCAACTGTGTCTAATATCTCATATCAGTGTTACTAACCTCAAACGTTACACTTAACTTATAAACAAACACTGAAAATTAGTAGCTATACTTGCTTGGCTAATGCTAGCTCACCAACAGCTAGCCAGCTAGCTTAATGTTACGCTGTTGTAAGCGGTTCTTGGTTCTAGACCAGTTGGTGCCGCACTGATTCCAGTTCTGAACGTGGCCTCTAACGGCCATCAGTTTTTTTAAAACTAACAATATTTGAAATGGACGCAGTTATTTCTGGCCTCAAACATTCTCAGAAGTGAATGCAGTGATTGTTGTTGGCCTGTCCGGTTGTGGGCGAGGTGGTCTGGTCCAATGCACTCTGGAGATTTTGCTTCTGTTTGCATTCTGCGCGCCACATTGAATGCTGCATCCAGCTTCGAGCACAGGCTTTTATTTTCCAGTTGCACATTGTCACCCTCAAGTGAAAATGTTGTACCTCCGATATCTGTTCATGTGTTCAGATCAGTTCATGTGAAAAAGGCCGTTGTAACATCTGTACAGCTGTTTGGATGTGCACGGACTGACAGACAAACTGTTGTTCATCCACACACACAGAATCATCACTGACGGAGGGATCAGTAAAACATAAGTAAAACACTGTTATTATTGTAACCATGACAACAAAGTCTATAAACCTTAATGAGGTAACCAGTGTTGTCACGTCACATAACGGGGGCAGTTACACGAACATTCTGTTTTTAATGTGAAGCTAATAACGGGTGTAGTGCTGCAGAGTTGCTGATAGTATCTTATTTTCTCTGCTTGTTTTCTGTTTTTCAATCTGATTACAGTTTGACTTCCCTCCTCTTCTCTCTCTCTAACAGCAGGATCTATGAAAGCAGTGTTTTTTTCTGCAGCTGAAATGTAAATTAGCGACTGTTGCTGGAGGTAAAATTAGCATCTTTAATTAAAAAATTAGCAGCAAACAAACAATACAAAACATACGAACGATTAAAGGAAAAACAACCTGAAGGAACAGCCGAGGAATCTTTTTATCTGACTTCCACTGGATTTAATTATCAAACATGAATTAATGTGAGATTACACAAACACAAACACACATCACAAATATGTGTCTATGTGAGTCTGCTGGGGCGTAATTAATAACCAATATTTTCACATCAAATACTGACTTTGATCCAACCAACGCTGATCTGTCCTCAGGAGGAAACAATAGAACCAAACTTTATGATTTTATTTCATCATCACTCATTTACTTTTTTAATTTGCAGTACAGAAATAGACAATATTTCCTCAGTTAAATATGATATAGTTTCACCAAAATCACAGTTTAAATTGTGTGTCTGTACAGTGATAATAAAGTTGTGTTTGTACAGGTGATGCTTGCGTCCACCAATGTCTTTTCATAATAAATCATTTGAGCCTGTTTCAGCCTCTGTGTTTACGACCTGGACTCTGCACTTACTGATTGATTTGATTGGATTTTTATTTTTTTTATGTGAGGAAAATTTGATCTACAAGTGACGTCAAATCAAATTCTTGATGAGAGATGTTTTTTATAAAACTACATTATTGACGGGGTAGATTTATTTTTGATGTTTCCACTGATTTGGCTTTAAACTCACGTGCTGACATCACGTTGATCTTTACATAATAAACCAGCCAGTTCATATTTAGCTTTAAAATCAGTCTTTGATTATAACTTTGATTTGAGTGAACAATGAGCACTTGTTATAAATCCTGTCTGTATTCCTGCAGTGAATGCTCAGTGAGTCTCTGCTGCCCTCTGGTGGTCATGTGATCAAACAGCAAACAAACAGATGAAAACTTTAATCACTAGCTATATAGACAACTGACTTCACTTAAATGCAAATAAAAGTAGTATTTCTAACTTTAATTTTAGTTTTGGTGAGTCTGATTATAAACACATTTTAGTTTTCATGTACTGACTTATTGTTTTTCAGGTCAGTCCCAGTGAAAGTACCTAAAGCAGTTTTGAGTCAGATACATGTTCCAAATAGGGTCTATGAATGTGAAACAGATTTGAGTCAGAATAAACTACAGTGTGTTTATAGTCTGTGTTTTCAGTAGTAATGGACAACAGTAGAGCTCTACGAGCTGATATATTAGGCTGTGACACATACAATACTTGATAGGGGAACATTGTTGGTTTGATGAAACATTTAGAAAATCAACTGACTTTATTTAAAAAGTATCTTTGTCCTGCATTCAGCACAGTTATAGATACTTTTAAATATTTGACCAACTTCATTCAGTTCCAGAATAATACCTGTTATTATAACAGCATCAAGACTGAAGACGTCACCTTGAGCTTCAGGAAATGTATTCATTTATTTATAAGTTGACTGCGTTAGCTGGATACTTTAAGGACTAAAACAATCCCCAAACCTCTGGAACATTGACTGATCTTTAAAAGATAACTCAAGAAACCAATGATAGGTTTCAATTCAATTCAATTCAATTTTATTTGTATAGCGCCAATTCATAACAGAAGTTATCTCAGGACACTTTTCAAATAGAGCAGGTCTAGACCGAACTCTTTAAAACATTATTTACAGCGACCCAACAGTACCACCATGAGCAAGACCTTGGAGACAAGGGCAAGGAAAAACTGCCTGTTAAAAGGCAGAAACCTAGGACAGATCCTTCGGCTCTAGGTGGGTGGTCGTCTGTCTCGACCAGTTGGATTTGAGGTTTGGGAACAAAGCTTCAGGTGAGATGAAGTATCTGAAGGGTTAACCCTCCCCTCCCAGGTGGAACACTGGTCTTCATGCTACAATCTCAAAACTAGTTTGTTTCTAGACTGCAAAGTGTTGTTACTCATTAGCTGATATTTACACTGATATTTATTGATCTGCAAAACATTAATATCAGCTTTTGCCTATGAATTGATGACGCCTTGGTGACTACTAGAACTGAGTAAATTATCTTACAGCACAAACTGTTCTGTTGTTCAGAAACTGACAGCTCATTACGTGGTCAGTTACCACCATCTAGTGGACAGTCAATGTAACTGCACCATCTGATGTACGGTGTCTCTGACACTGACTGGCTTTCTGCCACAGGTTAAACTGGTTTTGATGTCACTCTGATGTTTTTAGACTTGGACTCTGAAGTATTGAGGGTGTGACTAAGATCAGATAAGATTCACACAGACACCAGGACTGACGAGGGAGAAATGAGCAGCTTCTTCTCTCCCACTGTTTCCTCCACACATAAAGGTAGAAAGTGACTGTAAGTTGACCTGAAGTGAGTTCAGCAGGTGAGAATCCTACCAGAGGAATCTGTAAATGTTTGAACAGGATCACTTTGATCACATTGTGTTGTATCACTGTTTGACTGTACAGCATATATGTTTCTGGGTTGTTTCACAATATCTCTTTAGATTAGTATAGATGATAGTTATTGTTGAGTGTTTTTGAGTTAAAGAAGAGTGGTTTGAGAATAATCTGCATTTATTACTGTTAGTAGTTCTCAGGTAAAACCAACAGCAGTCAGACTTTAATCTGAGCTCACATCAGTAAAAAATGCAGGAAGTGTCAGAACTGGTCGGACTGGATCAACATAGCTGTGGTGTATTTTATTAAAAACAATGAACTAATGAGGCCTGTGATGGAAACCTTGTTGTAGTGACGGAGTGCAGCTTTTCCAGCAGGGCACTTACTGTCTAAGACTCTTCTCCATGTCAGAGCTCAGCACTCAGATCACCGTCACATCTGCCACTGAGCTACTGAATAACAGCTTACAATAACTAATCATTAACTGATAACTTTATTAGTTAACAATGGCCCAACCACTGATTCATCAACTAATATGAGACAGCATCTTTAATCAGATTACATTACTTTACGTTACTCATCCACTGTCTTCTTACTGATTTTCTATCTAAGTTTAAACTCTTTCATTAGTCAGTTGTTTGTTTGTATCAGGATGCAGCAGCGGAGACCAGATGCTCCTGAACCAAGCTGTGTGTCCATGAAGAGTGACCAGTCTGTGGATCGCTTTGATGAGTTTAAAGTCAGACAAACTGATGGAAGGTAGGAATTAAAACTGAAGTAGATTTCAGCAATATCACAACATTTGGTTTTGATCCGATGTCAATTGACACCAGGATCAGATCAACAGTCTAATTTTCAATTATTTTTACTATTAATAACTAATAATAATACTGACATATAGGGCACAGCCATATGTTATTTCTGAGGTGAATGTGTAAAAGCCCTGAAAAAGGGAGTATGTGTCACAATGTATTCAACTGTCTGAAATATAACAAACTTTAGGCTACTGAAATATTACCATAGTAAAAGTACATCAACCATAAACCTAACATATCTAACCAGTAACAGTGTCTGTAGTAGTGTTTTCAATGCTGAATTACCAGATAAACAAATACAAGAATAAACCAAACATAATATGTCGATAACATTAAAACTCATAATTTCCCCCTTAACCAAACTCATTCAGTAATGCAGACATTAGAGCAACAGAAATTCAGGCAGTCAACTTGACTATCACTAACCAAGCGCACCCTTTCAATCTGGCGGTCTATTTAAACTGCACAGTTTCCCAGCTCTCCCTCTGCTCTGTCAATCCCGCTGATGCCCTGCATCCGTATTGCTGCCTACTGCTCTGTAAGCCCCACCACCACCCCAGCATCCACCTGTAGGCTCTGGCTAGGGATTGTTAGTGACTTTAATGTACTTGAAGTGTGCACTGTCATTTCTAAAAAATTACAACTATCTATTGTACTATTAAAAAAACTATGCTGCATCCACTCTATTTCAGTCTGGCCACAGCACCTCATCCACATCGCAAGCAATGTTTTCCCTGGCCAAGCAGCGGGGGAAATATTGCCTAGCATGGCGAATCCAGCCATGAAAAGCATCAACTGCTATATCTCCACATGCGTCTTCCGTAGGTTGGAGAAGGGGTATATGCGTTTGTGGATTTTGGTCATACACTTTCCATCTCCAGGCAGAAAAAAATTCCTCAATAGGATTGAGGAATGGAGAATATGGAGGGAGATACACAACTAAAAAGCGTGGGTGGGCAGTGAACCAGTTACAAACCAGAGCAGCCCGGTGGAAACTTACGTTGTCCCAAATGACAATGTACCTGACCTGCTCTGGGCCGTCAATCTGATCTGGTGGAATGAGTGTGTTGTGTAGGGTGTCCAGGAATGTGATCAGATGAGCAGTGTTGTAGGGGCCAAGGGTAGCATGGTGATGGATGACGGCGTGGTGGGTAATCACTGCACACATTGTGATGTTCCCTCCACGCTGGCCAGGGACTTAAACAATGGCACGCTGGCCGATGATATTCCTTCCCCTCCTTCGTCTTTTTGTGAGGTTGAATCCAACCTCATCAATGAAGATGAACTGGTGCTCCACTGCACTCTAGCTCTCTGAAACACACATGACAATATCAGAAATAGACATGGAGTGGTCACTATTGTGAAGCACAATCATTATGATTACAATACTGAAATATGAATAATTTATACAGTGTTGAGAGCATGCATCAATTGTGGGATTGTATAGGACTCACTTGCACATAGTTATATTGCAATTCTTTGACTCTTTCTGAATTGCGTTCAAATGGCACCCTGTAGACCTGCTTCATCCTCAGATTATTTCTGCGCAAGACACGGTCCAGTGTTGATAAGCTTACCCTATCAATATTTTGAAATCTGTTTTCTATTATTTTTCTTTGGATTTGCCGTAATGTTATGGCGTTATTTTCTAGGACCATGTTCATGATTTCAGTTTCCTGTTCAGGAGAAAGAAGACGTTCCCGACCACCTTGTGTTGGTAGTCTTTCAATTCTGCCAAACAAAAAGTAATATACTGTAAATACTGTCTAGGAATACAAAGTAGGAATAAATTTCCCAAATACCTGAAACACACTTTATTTTTACAGTCCTACAGGACAGTCAATACTGTACTACTGTACTCATTGAGTACTGTATTGATATGCAGTAATGCAATTTTCGAGTGAGAGTAGATTTCTTACCTATTCTCATTTCGGAAAGTCCAGAAGATGGATGCTACAGTGTGCCGGCTCAAATTTGGCTGAACTCTTTGCCCAGCCTCCCTCATTGTTAGACCATGGTTGACCACATGGTCAACCAAAGTGGCTCGGATCTCATCAGAGATTATGGTCCTTGGCCGTGGCCGTACTCGTACTCTTACTCTTACTCTTACTCTTACTCGTACTCGTACTCGTACTCGTACTCGTACTCCTCTGGCTCTGGCTCTGTTTCCAATGTTGGCATCCATTGCTCCAAAACAGAAGAGCTCACCTGTTGCCCTTTTATGCTAAAGCTCTGATTGCTAAACTGTGTGACAGGTGTTTGCCCATGTGATGAGTCAGTGTGCATAGTAGGGCAATTAACTTTAGAATTTTGAATGACAGTGTGTTCCTTGTGAAAACAAGATATTTTGTTCATGAAAATTGTGTCAAATGCAGAGAATTGTGTGTAGTGTTTTGAAAAAAGTGTGTTTTAAAACTGCAAATTGAGTGTAAAGCAGGAATTGTGTTTGTAGTTTAGCAGAATTGGTTCAGGGCGTTGGTGCATTAGTTACATGTTGTGGTCATTGTGTCTCAAGTACCAGTAATTGTGTGTAAACAATTGAGAAAAACTGTAAATGACTCAGATTGCATCGGGGACTAAAAAGTCCTTAGGACCTTAAGAAAAACTGATTATCTCGTAAATATATCCCTGAAATCTGAGTGTAGTCCTTTAGTAGCTCATCCTCTGAACACCACAGACCCTCCACTGCCCCTCTGAACTCACTGATACTTTCTAGAAGAGATCCTCCTACATCCTGTCCATTATTCAGCTCGCTGATTCCGGCTGCGGCTGTCAGTACACACACACTATCATTTGTTCCTGAAAATCTTGATCAGTACATCCCTAATGGACTTTGGACTGGTCTCTGTACTTGTATTATTAGATCTTAGTGCTGCATTTGACACCATTGACCATGATATTCTTTTACAGAGACTTGAGCATCAAATTGGCATTAAAGGAACCGCACTAAGCTGGTTTAAGTCATATTTATCAGATTGTTCGCGGTTTGTACAAGTTAACGATGAAACTTTAATAAATACTACAGTTAGTCATGGAGTTCCACACGGTTCTGTACTTGGACCAATACTATTTACTTTATATATGCTCCCTTTAGGCAACATTATTAGAAATCACTCCATTAACTTTTACTGTTACGCAAATGATACGCCGTTATATCTATTGATCAAGCCTGATGAAATTAATCAATTATCTAATATACAAACATGTCTTAAGGACATAAAATCCTGGATGAGCTGCAATTTGCAAAAAAAAACCGAAATTCTTGTACTTGGCCTCAAAAATCTTAGAGACTCAATGTCTAAAGATATAGTTACTCTGGATGGCATTACTTTGGCTTCTAGCACCACTGTCAGGAATCTTGGAGTTATCTTTGATCAGGATTTGTCATTTAATTCCCACATAAAGCAAACGTCCAGGACTGCCTTCTTTCATTTACGTAATATTACAAAAATTAGACACATCCTATCGTAGACTGATGCAGAAAAACTAATCCATGCATTTGTTACTTCAAGGCTGGATTACTGCAACTCTTTATTATCAGGTTGCCCCAATAAGTCCATTAAAACGCTCCAATTAATTCAGAACGCTGCAGCACGAGTACTGACAGGAACTAGAAAAAGAGATCACATCTCTCCTGTACTAGCTTCTCTGCATTGGCTCCCTGTAAAATTTAGAATAGAATTTAAAATCCTCCTCCTCACCTACAAAGCTCTTCATGGTCAGGCCCCTTCATATCTTAAAGAGCTCATAGTACCCTATTACCCCACTAGAACACTACGTTCTCTGAATGCTGGGCTACTTGTGGTTCCTATAGTCTCTAAAAGTAGAACAGGAGCCAGAGCCTTCAGTTACCAAGCTCCTCTCCTGTGGAACCAGCTTCCAGTTGTGGTTCGGGAGGCAGACACCATCTCCACATTCAAGAGTAGGCTTAAGACATTCCTCTTTGATAAAGCTTATAGTTAGGGCTGGCTCAGGTGAGTCCTGAACCATCCCTTAATTATGCTGCTATAGGCCTAGACTATCGGGGGATTTCCCATGGTGCACTGAGCTCCTCTCTTCCTCTCTCTCTTTCTGCACTCATTCATGTTCCATTAATGCATGTTACTAACTTCACTTCTTCCCCGGAGTTCTTGTGCTTTCTCGTCTCGCAGGTTCTTATCGATCCTGGTGGAGCCTCCTGCCATGGTCCTGCTTTACTGCCATTGCCAATACTGTTGTTGCTGTGCAACTGTCTGTCTGTCTGTCTGTCTGTCTCTCTCTCTCTCTCTCTCTCTCTCTCTCTCTCTCTCTCTCTCTCTCTCTCTCTCACCCCAACTGATCGAGGCAGACAACCACCCACCTAGAGCCGGAGGATCTGTCCTAGGTTTCGGCCTTTTAACAGGCAGTTTTTCCTTGCCCTTGTCTCCAAGGTCTTGCTTATGGTGGTACTGTTGGGTCTCTGTAAATAATGTTATAAGGAGTTCGGTCTAGACCTGCTCTATTTGAAAAGTGTCCTGAGATAACTTTTGTTATGAATTGGTGCTATACAAATGAAATTGAATTGAATTGAATCAAACTTTGTACTTCTGACACTATTACAATAAGACTTATTATTGTTGTACTGAGATATGTATGAATAAAAAAATTTAATAATTACATTTTAGTGAAAATCTGATCAAAATATTTTTCTGTTTTAAAAAATGTAAATACTTCATTGTTTGTTTGTATCAGGATGCAGCAGCAGAGACCAGACTGTCCTGAACACAGTTGTGTGTCCATGAACGGTGACTGGTCTATGGATCGCCCTATTAACTTTAAAGATGGACAATCTGCTTCTCAAAGGTAATCATTTGAGGTCCAGTAATCAGAGCTGAATTTAGTTTAGAGTTGACATTGAGACAAAACAACTTTAATACAGATTTTTAAATATATATATACAGATATGAATCAATAAATGTAAAAAATAAAAACTAGATGTTTTCTCCACAGAGTTCAGCAGGAGAGCTCAGAGGTTCCCAGTGACCAGTCTGCCCAGCAGCATCAAACAGACCTGGACTCCATATTTATGGTGAGTACATGTACAAACACACCTTAAATACTAGTGAAGTTTAAATGATGAACTCAGAGATTAAAAATCTCTCTCACTACGACACATTTCGACCAGTTGGATTCTACAAAGGCCATTCATGAGATCCAAAGTAAATGAATCACATCATGGGTTAGGGGGTTAGCGTGCACATATTCAACTTTAACTTTCACACAAACCGATGTTAGATTAACACCAATTTATACATTTATTAACATAACAAAATACCCCAAAACTGTGAGAGTCTCAGTGTCCAGCAAAATAGTTTAAATATGAATCAACAAACTGTAATCAAGATTACAGTCAAAGTTTGTGACAAAGAAGGAGCGTGAAGCTGCAGTTTAAAAAGGGGCAACCTGCAACCAAACCTCACCATTATGACAAACAAGAAGTTTGTGTGTGTGTGTGTGTGTGTGTGTGTGTGTGTGTGTGTGTGTCACAGTGTGGGAGCATCCTCTGTAACTTGTTTTACAAACTGTAGATTCTGCTATGTTCTACGGATACTGGATACGGAACTACGGATAAAATGCGAGACTATCATTTAGGTGCAAACAATCTGCATACTGTTGTGTTCAGACCAGCAGGCCTTCAGGCTGACAGATGAATCACATGTTGTATTCTTCCACTTTAAATCAAATGTTCCCTTTATCTTTCTCTTCCAGCTGCTGGAGGAGAACATCGTCACTTTTGTGAAGAACAAGCTGAAGAGAGTCCAGAGGGTTCTGACTACAGATTACCCACAAGGCTTAGACAGTCAGGATGAGGATGAGGAAGTACTGGACGGTGACGATGAAGAGCGGAGCAGCAGAGAGGCATTTCTGAAGATCACAGTGCACTTCCTGAGGAGAATGAAGCAGGAGCAGCTGGCTGACTGTCTGCAGAGCAGTAAGAGGATTTTAACAGATTGAACATGATGGAAAGAGGAAATGGAGGCAACACAGGAGAGATTAACATTTCTAAACTCCGCTGTAAATATGTTTCACAACAGAGGCTGTTTGTCCTCCACTGATGAGCTGAATAAAACTGACGGAGGAGGAAAATCTATAAAGCCAGACTTAATGTTCAGATTCTCTGATTTTCTGTAGGATCCACTCACTGATTCCATTTGTTGTTTCTTTATTCAGGAACTCAAGCTGCAGTGTGCCGACATAAACTCAGGTCTAACCTGAAGGAGAAGTTCCAGTGTGTGTTTGAGGGGATTGCTAAAGCAGGAAACCCAACCCTTCTGAACCAGATCTACACAGAGCTCTACATCACAGAGGGAGGGACTGCAGAGGTCAATGATGAACATGAGGTCAGACACATTGAAACAGCATCCAGGAAACCACACAGACCAGAAACAACAATCAGACAAGAAGACCTCTTTAAACCCTCACCTGGAAGAGATGAACCAATCAGAACAGTGATGACAAAGGGAGTGGCTGGCATTGGGAAAACAGTCTTAACACAGAAGTTCACTCTGGACTGGGCTGAAGGCAAAGCCAACCAGGACATACAGTTCACATTTCCATTCACTTTCAGACAGCTGAATGTGCTGAAAGAGAAAAAGTTCAGCTTGGTGGAACTTGTTCATCACTTCTTTACTGAAACCAAAGAAGCAGGAATCTGCAGGTTTGAAGAATTCCAGGTTGTGTTCATCTTTGATGGTCTGGATGAGTGTCGACTTCCTCTGGACTTCCACAACACTGAGATCCTGACGGATGTTAGAGAGTCCACCTCAGTGGATGTGCTGCTGACAAACCTCATCAGGGGGAAACTGTTTCCCTCTGCTCGCCTCTGGATAACCACACGACCTGCAGCAGCCAATCAGATCCCTCCTGGGTGTGTTGACATGATGACAGAGGTCAGAGGGTTCACTGACCCACAGAAGGAGGAGTACCTCAGGAAGAGGTTCAGAGATCAGGACCAGACCAGCAGAATTATCTCCCACATCAAGACATCCCAAAGCCTCCACATCATGTGCCACATCCCAGTCTTCTGCTGGATCACTGCTACAGTTCTGGAGGATGGGTTGAAGACCAGAAACAGAGGACAGCTGCCCAAGACTTTGACTGAGATGTACATCCACTTCCTGGTGGTTCAATCCAAACTGAAGAAGATCAAGTATGATGGAGGAGCTGAGACAGATCCACACTGGAGTCCAGAAAGCAGGAAGATGATTGAGTCTCTGGGAAAACTGGCTTTTGAGCAGCTTCAGAAAGGCAACCTGATCTTCTATGAATCAGACCTGACAGAGTGTGGCATCGATATCAGAGCAGCCTCAGTGTACTCAGGAGTGTTCACTCAGATCTTTAAAGAGGAGAGAGGACTGTACCAGGACAAGGTCTTCTGCTTCGTCCATCTGAGTATTCAGGAGTTTCTGGCTGCTCTTCATGTACATCTGACATTCATCAACTCTGGAGTCAATCTGCTGGCAGAACAACAAACAACATCCCGGTGGTCTGTAGTGTTCGGAGGTAAATCAACACGTTTCTACCAGAGTGCTGTGGACAAGGCTTTAGAGAGTCCAAATGGACACCTGGACTTGTTCCTCCGCTTCCTCCTGGGTATTTCACTGCAAACCAATCAGAAACACCTACAGGGTCTGCTGACAGAGACAGGAAGTAGCTCACAGACCACCAAGAAAATAGTCGAGTACATCAAGAAGAAGATCAGTGAGGATCTGTCTGCAGAGAAAAGCATCAGTCTGTTCCACTGTCTGAATGAACTGAATGATCATTCTCTAGTGGATCAGATCCAACAGTTCCTTAGTTCGGGAAGTCTCTCCTCAGATAAACTGTCTCCTGCTCAGTGGTCAGCTCTGGTCTTCATCTTACTGTCATCAGAAGAAGATCTGGACGTGTTTGACCTGAAGAAATACTCTGCTTCAGAGGAGGCTCTTCTGAGGCTGCTGCCAGTGGTCAAAGCCTCCAACAAAGCTGTGTACGTGCACGAGGCAATAAGAAAATTCAATAAGATATCGATAGTTTTGCTGAAATACATTAATTGCACACCGCCATGAAAGCACTGACTACGTTCAGGTTCATAACGTAAACAACTTATCATATCCCTCGATAATGAAGCGAGCTATGAGTGAATCACCATAGCCGCTTCCATCACAAACCACAGGCAGTCCACAATGGAGAGGTACCCAGCAACAATACCGGATGCTAAAACATAAACATTACAATTATTACCTGTGTGCCTTGATAAATAAAGTGGTAAATTCAACCTTCTTTCACCTGGTCTTTATCAAAAATAGGTCATTAAAAATGGTCAGCTATATCACCGAGCCCTAATGTGCACACATCACTATCCTGATTAGTTTATTCTTAAGGGTGCTCTGATTGATTGTAATCAGCCGATATTCTCTCTAATTAGTTTGATCGGCGATCATAAGAGCTGATCAACATTACTTTGGCAGGTCACCAGATATATTAACGTTTCACAGCCAACTGTGTCTTTGGTCTCACCCAGAAAAAAAAGATAAGCTAAAAACCTCACATAAGCCGAATAACTCAACTGTACATCAGTATTTCTACATCTCTCATATTTAAGAGAAAACTAACGTTGGCAATTGTTTTATTTTATATTTCTGATTCCTCTTCAGGCTGAATAGCTGTAACCTCTCAGAGAGAAACTGTGAAGCTCTGTCTTCAGTTCTCAGCTCCCAGTCCTCTCGTCTGAGAGAGCTGGATCTGAGTAACAACAACCTGCAGGATTCAGGAGTGAAGCTGCTGTCTAATGGATTGAAGAGTCCACACTGCACACTGGAAACTCTCTGGTAAAGATTCAGCTGTTTGTAAAAGTCTTTTTACTCATTTTTACGATCCTTTTATTAAGTGATGCAGCAATGTCATACTGAAAGGGGTAGCTGACTCAGGAGTTTATCACAGTACAGTGTGTTGGTTCTTGACACTGAAATCTGAATCAAACATTTTCACAGTAATTCAATTATATTCCTCTGTACTCAAACATCTGTGTGTTCTTAAGAGAATAATCCCCAACACTAATATAACAGATAATAGCAATAGTTTAGGGCTGAACACATATCAACCAATAAATAAAAAGCACATTGGATTGGTTTTAACAACTTTAATGTACTTTAAGTGTGCACTGTAATATTGTGTTATAAGCACTGGATCAGAACTCCATCCTTAGATAATTTTCTTCAGGCTCAACACAACAGTCAAGAAGAGGGGCTGCATTACTGCTGAGGTTACACATATCAAACCATCATCATCGTGTGTGTTTAGTCTGTCAGGCTGTATGATCTCAGAGGAAGGCTGTACTTTTCTGGCCTCAGCTCTGAGCTCTAACCCCTCCCATCTGAGAGAGCTGGACCTGAGCTACAACCATCCAGGAGACTCAGGAGTGAAGCTGCTGTCTGCTGGACTGAACGATCCACACTGGAGACTGGACACTCTGCGGTATGGACATATGGACAAAGTATGAGGGGCCGTCAGGGACATTATTCAGAATTACCTCTCACAAACACATGTGAAACACTCTCACATAAACAACTGGAAGATTAGTCTCTCACACACACTACTGAAATGCTCTCACACATACAACTGAAACGCTCTTATATACACTACTGAAACACTCTCACACATACAACTGAAACACTTTTATATACACTACTGAAACGCTCTCACACATACAAGTGAAATGCTCTCACACATACAACTGAAATGCTCTTATATACATTACTGAAACACTCTCACACATACAACTGAAACGCTCTTATATGCACTACTGAAACGCTCTCACACATACATCTGAAATGCTCTTATATACACTACTGAAACGCTCTCATACATACAAGTGAAATGCTCGCACACATACAACTGAAACGCTCTTATATACACAACTGAAACGCTCTTATATACACTACTGAAACACTCTCACACATACAACTGAAACGCTTTTATATACACTACTGAAACGCTCTCAAACATACAACTGAAACGCTTTTATATACACTCCGTGTTAATACCATTAGTAGTTTATCTTGTTGCTAGGAGTCCGTAGATTCACCATAACAAGAGAGGGGAGACTCTGCTTAAATCTTCTCCATAAAGCCGTTCAGTCTCCACCTTCCTCTCTTCCCCCGATGTTGCTTCCCTCCTCGGCATCCCTGGTGTGTTTTCTCCAGAGTTCAGCTGGTAAATCAGCTGTTCTGTCCACTATGCCTAGGGGCATTAGTACAATCAGCTGTTCTCCGGAGTAAACAAACTCAGCATGCCTGACACTCATTTGTCCTCAAAAAATGACAACTTGACACATTACCTTGTTAGTTTAATACTTATTGGCTAAAAATGTGTGTCAAAAAAGCAAAATAAGTAATTTCATTGGTTACATTTTCACATAGTGACCTATAAACACATGGCTAATTTGAATATTCAAATTAGCCATGTGTTGATCGCAACAACAGCTGCTCACTAAGTCTGGTTGTCAATCAAGCTCTCAGTGACAGAGAACTTAACTTCGGTTGTTCGACTGAAATTCTGAAAATGCTCATACTTATATGTATAGGCAAAGCCTTGGCCAAGCCTATACATCTGAAACAGAAGGTGCTATATTTTTATACCTTTTTTACCCTTTATCTATCCAGATAAAAACATTAAGAACAGTGTCTGTATGATGTTTATTAGACCTATGTAATCTGAATTGGAAGGGCAGGTTGTCATCAGCTGTATCTTGTATATTTATTATTAGCTATGTGGTATGTGTATGCACCTTTATGCAATCTGGTGGAAAAGATAAGATATTCCTTTATTTGTCCCACAATGGGAAAATTCCAATGTTACAGCAGCAAAGTGGATAGAGAAAAAACTCATATAAAAAACAGTAAGAGTAGGAAAAATAATAAATAAAAACTAAAAACACTATGTACAAGAGAAAAAACAGTAAGAATCCACAAACAACAGATAACACAAATAGTAGCAGCAGCAGCACTTGCACATGGGCAATAGAGTGCACAGTAACTATGGAATGCTATTGCACAGTAATTATTGCACATTGTTATTGTATATAAATATTATATATATTCAGTAATTATTATTATTGATGCCGAGAATTTTAACATATCAAAATTTAAAACGGGATCATACCAAACAAATATCTGCTTGCGTGTCCCTGTGTATGCAAAGTGTCCTCCTTTTTGATGTGAAGGAAATGGCCGTCCTAGTGTCCTGGTGGAAGCGGCATTAAAACACAAAATAAAACACAAAAACTCTCTCAAACAACATCGTTAGAGAGGGCAGGACTTCAGAGAGTTACAGTGAAAAAATAAGAACGAACAAAAAGAGAATACAAGTTAAGACGTTAAAAAAGCAATCTCAAAGGCTGGAGAACGTAACAGGCAGCATGCAGCTTTCATGCACGACTGATCATCTTAATGTATATCTATATAACAGCGTTTCACTTGTATGTGTGAAAGCATTTCACTTGTATGTATGAGAGCGTTTCACTTGTGTGTGTGAGAGCGTTTCAGTAGTGTATATAAGAGCGTTTCAGTTGTATGTGTGAGAGTGTTTCAGTAGTGTATATAAAAGCATTTAAGTTGTATGTGTGAGAGCGTTTCAGTAGTGTATATAAGAGCGTTTCAGTTGTATGTGTGAGAGCGTTTCAGTAGTGTATATAAGAGCGTTTAAGTTGTATGTGTGAGAGCGTTTCAGTAGTGTATATAAGAGCGTTTAAGTTGTATGTGTGAGAGCGTTTCAGTAGTGTATATAAGAGCGTTTCAGTTATATGTGTGAGAGCGTTTCAGTAGTGTATATAAGAGCGTTTCAGTTGTATGTGTGACAGCATTTCAGTAGTGTATATAAGAGCGTTTCACTTGTATGTGTGACAGCGTTTCAGTAGTGTGTGCGAGCAAATAATCTTCCAGTTGTTTATGTGAGAGGGTTTCAGTAGTGTATGTAAGAGCATTTCACATGTGTTTGTGAGAGGTAATTCTGAATAATGTCCCTGACGGCCCCTCATAGAAACAGCTGCTCTCACACTGTTTCTCTGTCACTCTGACTAACAGAGGAACTCTGGTTCATGTGTCATGGAAATTCTTCCCAAAATTGAGAGTTGCTAATTCTCTGAAGAACTGTCAAGCCGGTGTGATAATTAAGACACTTTATTACATGCAGCATGGAGAGAAGACCACATCATGAGCATTCTCTCCTGACTTCCAGAATCCTCTTCCTTATGTACATCTCAGTACATTGTAAAACAGTGATCACCCCTGTTCGTCCTATTAATATTACTAATGTAAAGTCCAGGTCTCTTCCACAAATGGTCTTGTGAGCTGACTCTATAACTGTGACCCACTGCTGACCCTATGTCTGTAACCAACTGCTGAGCGGTCTTTCCATACCATAAAACACAACCCCCTGACCAGGACTATATACATTTACTACCCCTCCTTAACCATGTATCTACCACACGTTTAATGGTGAATATGAGTGAAGGTTTATGAATACTTTCTGACTTTGTTTCTTCCTCCAGGGTGGACCATGGTGGACCGCAGAGACTGAAACCTGGTGTCAGGAAATGTGAGTGTGTTTTAAGTTGGATTCATGAGAACTGAGCTTGACACGTTACACTAGATTTTTTAATTTTTTTGAAAAAACAGTGAATTTCTACTGAGTCAGTCAATCAGGATTTAGCTTCTGTTTTTGTCAGTGTGGCTGGAAAAATGTTAGAAATTCAGTCAGTCAGTTTAAAAATGACAAACTGAACACATTGATCCTACAAAACTAATATTTTATAAAGAGTGCAGCCAGCAGAAAGCTAACTTTGTTTCATCTGGGTCTTTTGACTGTCACTGATATTGTAGAAGAGTTTTGTTGCCTTTAGGTGCTGCTCGTGGACTCGTACTTCACATCTTGACAGATATAAGTTGTTGTTTTATTAAGTCATAAACACAACACGTCATAATTAATGTCACAAAGATGTTGAGAAGTTGAATAAAGTGAGTTGATGAGGATTTACCTTCCAGTTCCTCCCTGAATGGGAGACCTGGGACCAAATGTACGATACATACACACAAATACTATGCATACTCCATTTTTCACACATAAACTGGTATTTATATGATCAGAATGTGTGCACGTCTCACTGACTTCAAACAAGCGTACACATTTCTTGCAACAAGAGTCAGTCCTCTCCTTGAGGCAGAATGAACGCACACACTGTGAGTGGAGAAAGGTAGCTCCATTGAAAGCCCTGGTATAGTTTGCCCTCTGGTTGATGCTATTATAAATGGATTGTTGAAGTTCAACTTAGTCAAACATTATTCACAGTTTGAAATATAAGTTTGAATGATTTTCTTTCAGTAGTTGTCAGTAAAGTAGTTCATAAATCAACAGATGATAACCTGCAGCTGTATTGTGTCTTGTTCTCTCCATCAGATGTCTGTGAAGTGGAACTGGACACAAACACAGTAAACAGAGAGCTCAAACTGTCTGACAACAACAGGAAGGTGACACTGGTGGAGGACTATCAGTCATATCCTGATCATCCAGACAGATTTGACTACTGGCCTCAGCTGCTTTGTAGAAATTGTCTGACTGGTCGCTGTTACTGGGAGGTCGGGTGGAGAGGAAGAGTTTCTATATCAGTGAGTTACACAGGAATCAGCAGGAGAGGATACAGTGATGACTGTGTGTTTGGAAGAAATGATCAGTCCTGGAGTCTGGAGTGCTCTGATTATGGTTACTCTCTCTGGCACAATAAGAGAAAGATATCCATCTCCTCCTCCTCCTCCTCCTCCTCGTATGGTAGAGTAGCTGTGTATGTGGACTGTCCTGCTGGCACTCTGTCCTTCTACAGCGTCTATTCTGACACACTGATCCACCTCCACACCTTCAACACCACATTCACCGAACCTGTTTATCCTGGGTTTACATTCTGGTCAGATAGTTCCTCAGTGTCTGTGTGTTCTCTGGAGGTTTGAGAGTCTCTCCTGTGAACAGAAACTCTGCTGACTGAAGATCAGCTGCTGAAATCAAAGTTCACTCTGTTCACCATCACACACACTCTGCACTGTGAAGCAGATCTGTCTCAGACTCACACACAAAACATTCAATTGTCAGATTTCACTTTGATTCTCAACATTTTAACACTTTATCTAGAAACGCTTAATGATATATGTCTAAAAAGAATGAACTCTTTTTGGGAACTAGTATATCTTCTTTCTTTATATTTTGCCACATTATAAAAATGTGGAGACTAACGGTTTGTTGAAACAATCCTGAAGCATTAAACATATTTTCTAATATTTGTAAATGCTTTTAATAAAATCAGTAAAAGCCTCAGTGTGTCTCTGCCTCCCTCTGGTGGTCGTTTGATCAAACAGCAAACAAACACACAAACAGCTGAAAGGTTTTTATTTCACAAACTGAAGCTGCTCAGAGAGATGGGGGTGACAGGATCTGTTTCATATGGAAGTAAATAGAAAAAGACTCTAATACTGTAAGAAGATCTGCAGTCTGACATTTCAAACCCAGGGGCATCCTGGGAAACTGAGTCCAGACAGAGTTGAGGTCTCAGTCGTCTCCTCCACACAGACTGAGCAGAGCCTTCTGGTAGTCTCCTTTAGTGTGCTCCTGAATCACACAAACACATGATTACTATAATAATAATAATGATAATAATAATATTCATAATAATAATAAACACTCCTGATCTTTAAGTTGTGAGTCAGCAGTGGTGGAACAAGTATTCACATCAGTTACAGTATTTAAACTTTACTTCAGTAAAGGTACAGTTCCAGTATTACCAGCAGAATGTCTGTTGATGCTGTGCACCTGTCTGTCTGTCTGTCTGTGTCTCTCTCTTTCTCTGTCTCTCACCCCAACTGGTCGAGACAGACGACCACCCACCTAGAGCTGAAGGATCTGTCCTAGGTTTCTGCCTTTTAACAGGCAGTGTTTCCTTGCCCTTGTCTCCAAGGTCTTGCTCATGGTGGTACTGTTGGGTCTCTGTAAATAATGTTTTAAAGAGTTCGGTCTAGATCTGCTCTATTTGAAAAAGTGTCCTGAGATAACTTCTGTTATGAATTGGTGCGATACAAATAAAACTGAACTGAATCTAATATTACTGTGGTTTCTTTCTTTTTTTAAACATATTTTTACTTTCAAATAAATGTATTATTTATTACTTCATTTGAATTCTGGCTGGTCTCAGATAAACAGCCTGATTAAATAGTAAAGTGATATTTACTTTGGTCTGACTCCCTGAAACAGCTGATTATAAATAGTATGATATGTATTATTATTTTTATTTTTCACTTCAACTTGGCCTCAGTTAAAGTACCTGTAGTAGTAGTTTGAGTGTCCGCAACATTTAATTCATTATTAATAAATTTCTCCTCTTTCTGTCCTCTCTGGTATGTTCACCAGCCTTCACCTGTGTGGGACGTTACAGTGAGTTGGTCTACCGCACACACAGACTGGTACTCACAGCGATGGTCTGGTACAGTGATCTCTTGTGCTGCTTCTTGAACTCTGTTCTGATCTTCATCAGGTCGACTTCACAGCGGGAAACTATAATCCTGGTCAATACCTTCTCCTTCGCTCCTTTACTCTGCAGAGAGACAGAAAAAACCAGATGGAGGGCGTCATACAGACGTCAGAGCAGACGGAGGGCAATGTGTAGATTATTATTATTATTATTATTATTACAGATGTGCTCATTACTTTAATGTTGCAGCTGATAAAGATGGAGCTCATTTTAATGACTTTATACTGCTGGAAGTTTCAATAATGATAACACAATTTATTTGTTAATTATTTTTAGATTTTATGGATCTAAAAAAAACTAAGTAATTAGAAGTACATAAAATAAAAATAAAAAATAGAAATAAAAATAGAAACTATACAAAAACAATTCAACTCAAACTCTATCTAAAACTTCAAAGTAACTAGTAACTAAAATGATTATATACAGTATAATGGAGAATATTTACATTTTGAAATGTAGTGGAGCTAAAGTATAAAGTAAAATAAAAATACTCAAGTACAATATAAGTAGCTCAAAAGTAAATGTACTTAGTTATTTTCTATCAATGGACAAATCTATTCAAACGTACCTTCATGGCGTCACTGAGTCTGTTGGCGAAGTACAGCTGCCTGTTTTCAAAGCACTCCACTGTGAAGAGAAGACAAAACATTTAACGAACCTGAACAACTTCCTGATGTTTTTACCACCCATCCCGTAATCTTAAAATCCACTGTTTATCAAGAATTAAAAATACGGTGGAACAGTCCCTGAAATAATGGTGTCTATGATCTGATGGTGGTGTCTGTTACCCAGAGTGAGGAAGGACTTCTCCAGATCTCCCTTCACCTCCTTCCTGATGCTCTCCTTCATGTCGTACGGACTGTAGCTCTTATACCTCTGAAACACTGACAGCACAAAACACACATCATGTGTGAAACTTAAAGCACAGGCAGTACTATATGGCAGAGTAAAGTTGTCTTTTTATTACCAGTTACACAATCTCCCTAACTTGAAACAATACTGTAATTGATGCACAGATAATGCAGAATTTTAACATAGTCACTGGATGTAAAACAAAAACACTGACATTAAATGTAAAAAGAAACAATGTTGGACTTAAACAACAGCTTTGGACATATAAAGGCATTGGCAATACAATAAATGTTCCCACTGACAGTAGAAAACACTGGAGTTGAACATTAAAGAAACATTGATAATTGATCAAACAAATGCTGGCATTGGATCTGAAACCACTTTGGCATTTAACATAAAAACCACTGGCATAATGTAAGAAATAGAAGTTGGTACTAAATATAAATTAAACATTGGAACATTGAATGTACGAGTTAAACAATGAGCTTCAAAATGGAATTACCTTAAAAACTTCTCTGAATCACTTTAAAGGTCTTTTACAAACTGCCCTGAAGGAACCACGTTGCCGTTTTATGGATATTGCTGCGATAGTCTGTATGTCTCTCTTCTACGTATTCTAACATGTGAGATTTTTTTAATCCGGGACTTTGCAGAATTGTTGTGGTGATTGGGGTCATCTGTATGCGCAGACTTTAGCTCATGCTTGTGCAGTGTTGTAGGTGCAGTTCACCTTTCTGCAGGTGGGGGACGCTCCTCTGGGCCATGATGGAGATCCAGGTCGCCACATCGGTTCCCTTCCTCTTCACCCCGGCTTCATACAGACACTGAGGTTCACACACAACAAAATAATATAGATTTTTAAAATTTATTGATGGATTGCTCAATACAGTTGATGAATTACTAAATATTATACCATGAAACAAATTCATACTGAAGAGAATACCATACAATTTCTGGCTTTTTAGAAATCACTAATCTTTGGATGTTTTGACTCACTCTGGCATCTTCATCAATCTTCTCATAGTCAACCACATTAGAGGGTTCATCTCTCTTTGTCTGTAGATCAAGAAAATACAGTTTTCAGTTTCAGTCAGTTTTACACATTTAAAGAGTTAAAATGAAGCTTGAAGAAAAGCAGCAAATCCTCACATTTGAGAAGCTGGAACCATTAAATGTTTTTACATGAAGAATGAATAACGTTTATCAAAATAGTTGCTTAATTTTATGGAAATCGACTAATTGCTTAATCGACTAATTGTTTTAGCTCAACTTGTATTAAATGTTAGGTTATTTAATTTTATTTATTTGTGATGTAACCGAACTAGTAACTAAAGCCGCCAGATAAATGTAGTGAAGTGAAAAGTCCAATATAGTACCTCAAATCTGAACAGTACTTGAGTAAATGTAGTTAAATTCCACCACTGGGATCAAATAGTAGCAAAGTAGAATACCTGCAACGTTTTGGTACAGAAACATAGCCTACAATATTCTGTACCAAAACCTCCAATACTACATTTATTTACAAAGTTTTGAAACATAGCAAATAAATGTAATGTTACACATCATTCATCTTTGCTACTTTTTGATACTCGCACCATTCCAACTCACCTGCCTCGTGAAATACATGTGCAGTCTGTTTTGACCACTGGGTTCAACCAAAACATCTTAGTACTGTAAAATGTATTGTGCAGTTAGCAGCAGTTAGCAACAGTTAGCATCTAAGCTACCTGAACCAGAGCCAGCAGCAGTTTGGCGAAGTCTCCTGACGTGTCTCCTGCTACATCTTTCTCCAACTCCTTCTTAAACACTGCAGAGAGAAATGAAAGATTTAAATAAAGCCATGATGAAGGTTATGTTAGCAACGTAAACTAACTGTTTGTAGAGAATGCTAAATCACAAAAGTCAGCTCGCTAACATGCTACAAATAGTTCTTAAATAGTGCCAGTGTTATACTGTACATGTTAGCATGCTAACTTTAGCTTTTAGCCATACTAGCTGAGTCACTTTGTCAGTAGACGTGGACGACAACATTTTCTATAATGATAAATGTGAGTTTATATTGCAGTATTGATTTTGATACCAGAATCATTTAATAATAGCCTATAGGCCTAACTTAATGTTTTTTGTTAATCAAGCTAAATAAACACTTGACAAATCGAGGTACAAATATAGGCTACATATTCTATGAAATGATGAATTCAAATATAAACACGTGGTTTTTGGACATTTGACACGGGTTAAAAGAGACATTACATCTGAAATACTTCACATATCAGCTATTTACATTTAATGAATTCACATTTGCACATGTGATTTCAGTTGTGAAATATGTTATTTAACATGTGCTTTTTTGGTAATGATTTATTAAAATGTTTTAAATTTAATATTGCCAAACATAAGTCCTGCTCATTGATTTATGGCCTGTACAATATTCAATATTACAGTTCAGCTCTGAAATCTCTTAAGAGACAAATCACTTTACATATCATCATATTGCTAGAACCTACTCACTGCAGTGTCAAATTCAGTGATGCTGGAGAAGAATAAATGCTGTTATGATCTGCATGGACAGCACCAGCGAACCAATGGTAAGCTTAAAAATGTTTTTTTTTTGCAAACAGCAGCTTCAGTTTAAAATGTTATAGATCCAAACTTACTCTCTTTGTAAACCTTTTTGATCTCCGCTAATTCTTCATTGTTTCTAGAGCAGACAATCTCGATGAGGGTCTCCTCGTCTGTTCCCAGTCCCTGGAAACACAAATACCAGCAGGTAAGACTCTATATTTTACACATTCACACTAATATTATATGAAATGTAATTCTTACAGATCCATCTGATTGGTCAAAGATAGTACCAACCACCTCTCATAAAGTGGGAGTAAGTCTCCAATATGGTTCTATGTGGCATTATTAGGTTGTTAATATGATGCAGCAGCATTTTACTGTCATGGCTGCTCAAGGTGGAGCTATTTTTATTTTTTTTACGCTTTTATTGGACAGGACAGCTCAAGTGAGACAAGAAAAAGGGAAGAGAGAGATGGGACAATATGCAGTAAAGGGCCACAGGTTAACTACTATGGAGTTAGCTATAGTTTCTACGACAACAGTTTGCAAATTTTAACTACTTTATCCGAAGTTAATGAGTTTAAACTATTTTATATACAGGTAGCTACATTTAACTACTTTAGATAGGCTTAACTAGTTTCAACTGCTTGATATACAGTGGTTTTAACCACTCTGTATGCCGTTAGCTGGTTTTGACTACTTTAGATTGCTAGTTTGAACTATTTTAGCTAGTTGACTAACTTGCTTTATTTACAGTTAGCTACTTTTGAAACTTTATCTACAACTAGCACAACAGGAGTGCCCAGCACATACTTGGGGCTACTGTTTACAAAAAATGATCATCCATCAGTGTGAATCCTCACATTGTTATCATTATAGTGGTTTTTATTGTTATTCTTGGCGTTGTTTTAATATTAGTTAAGTGAATATGTGTGTCAGTTTACATTCCATTTGTAAGCTAAAACATTTTGGGAACCCTGTCATAGTTTGTCGTAGTTACAGTCCACCACTGTTGACTCTGACCTTCATGGAGGCTTTAAGCTCGGAGGCGTCGTACTGAGCGGTACTCTTCATCAGACCCAACATCAGAGCCTCCAGAGAGCCAGACAGCGCCCCCTTCAGGGCTGTAATCAGATCCTGGAAAAGGTACAGGGGTACAAAATGTCTTGAAAAAATATTGTTTCTAAACAAACTGAAGCAGAATGTACTAGCAGGGTAGTTATGTCACCTACTGATTCTGGTCTACATGTGAAATGTCACATCTTCTACCATTATCATGTTAATTAAAAGGGAAACATTTTGAACCTTCTTGGCGAGTCGTTCATATTCGAAGGCAATCTCTCTCCGCTGCTCATAGCTGCGTCTGGTCAGGATGTCGGTGATGGTCTGTTCGTCTACACCTGCAGGATTTAATGAAGAATGAATTAGTTGTTTTTGAGTTCAACTTTAAAGATGCCAGTCCAGTTGATTTTAAGATAAGTATTGTGATTAACCTCTTTAACTCTGCTAGACCATTTGTACATTGATCTGATCACTAATAAGACATTGCACTATAGAACACTGAGGCATCACTGAGGTGTGGTCAAGAGCTGAATTGTATTGTAAGGAGTGCATAATTATTGTTAGTATTATATAATTCAAATAGACTTCACAGACCCATGCCCTGTGTCTACAGCACAGCCTATAACCTGTATCTACAGCACTGACTCCCTGCCCTGTATCTACAGCACTTACAAAACTTACTTCAAAAACAGTTTCTTCCCGTCTACAGCTGGCCTCATTAACAAGGCCCAGACCCCCCACTGTCACTGACTCTCATACCCACCCTGTATATATGCATAACATTAATGCACTCCCGTCTTCTGTACAGTTGTCCTATCTTTTCTTGTCTTTCTTATCTTTATTTATCTATATTTTTTTAAAAGTACTTTATTCTTGTGTGATTTTTGTGTGACTTGTATATTTTTGTGTGATTTATATATTTATCTTTTTATTTTTTTTGTGTGATTGTATATTTTAAGCACCATTGCACCAAGACAAATTCCTCGTATGTGTAAAACCCTACCTGGCAATAAATCTCATTCTGATTCTGATTCTGATTACAGCACTGACTCCCTGCCCTGTATCTACAGCACTGACTTCTGTAACTTAGTATAATTTAGTATGATTCAAATCTTGACTGTCTCTGCAAGAAAATCTGTATCAAATCATTGGCCTTCACTAAAACTTTTTTTGTTTGTTTTTAATAATATCATTAATACCATTGTTTGAATAAAATAACCATACAGACCTTTGGCAACCAGTGGTCCGCACTGACCTCTTTCCTGTATTTGTCCTGTCCTGTAATTCAGTATTACTGTCAAATGGACTTAAATCTTTCTTAACTGTCTTTGAAAGACATGTAATTACTTGACTAATTTCTGTGTTGTTCTGATGAGCAGTTACAAACTACATATGTTTTATTTTGAGGACTTATTGGATAAACTATAGATTCAAAATAAATTATAAGAAATTTAGTTCTTATTAATAATATCATTATTGTTACAATTATATAAATTAAGTGGTATATGCCCTGCTACAGCACTGATCTATGCCTTGTATCTACAGCACTGACACAACATTCCCAAATATAGTTGCCATCCAATTCAGCATTGAAGAATCAAGGCATCAAACATGAACCTATAAGTCTGCATCTAAATAGGGTTTGCACTAAAGTGTGAAGATTTGATTAAATTTGTGCCAAAAGAAGCAAAAAAGTCTGTATCAGTTATTGGCAAAAACATAAAATACTTCATAACTGACCACATGGTGGCACTATTATTCTTCATGATTCTGGTGGTGTTTGGTGTATTGTGAAATGTTTTGGTGATGTCTGATGAAACATTTGGCGAAATAGAAAATATTGTGCAGACAGTACTAATTACAGCAAGACATTTATATCACTGCTGACTCATCGATTGACCAATCTGAACACCGTTCCAAACATGTGATATCTGGTGTGTGGATTTTTGGTAGCATTTATAATCAAACCAAAGCCCTTATTACTTACATAATATACTGTCATCTATTTATGTAGCAAATAGAAACACAAAAAACTAAACTTTATTATTTATTTTGGATCTATGTTCATACTGTCAGCAGCACTCTGTTTCTTTGTTTCAGTTTTTTTTTTAAACAATGGAAAATCTAGCGTCTGCTGAGGGATGTCCTGCTCTTACTGCAGCTCACACACAGGAAACTGAGTTGAAGCAGTTGGGAAGCTCTCCACACAAATACAGAGGAGTCAGACCTGTACACTATGTCTCACCAGTTCAATTCCCCAATTGCTGTACACTGACAACTGCAGTAGTTTTAGTGGCATCTGAAGCTGTGTTCCCCCAACTTTAGTCTGTTTCCAACCTGAGCAGAACATGCTGTTATAGCTTTAACAGCTCATAAATGGACAGAAGCCAGTCAGTAATCTGATATCTGACTATGACTGGATGTAATCAGATGTCTGGCACATCATCTTCAAAGAAAACTGAAATGAGAGAAATGCTCGAACCACCACATAAAAATAGAATAAAGGAAATAAAAATCTAAAGGGTTGGCAAGCATCCTGTAAATAAAGGTTTGTCCTGATGGTGGCCCTAGAGGAAAGGTAATGCGGTCAGTGTCATAGTGTCCACTAAATTATTTGTGATGAAATGGTAAGATCGCAGTTACATAACTCTATGCAGAATATGCAGAAGCTTCCAGACAGCATGGTTGTTGATGTTGGACTCTCTCACCTTTAGTTTTGATGGCTGTCTCGATCCTGGCAGCGTCTTTGGCCGGGTCGAAGTCTCGGGCTGCCACCACAGTGGGGAATGTGGGCTCTACTTCCTGCAGAGGACAGAGTGAGACATGTTACCTTCCTGTTTGCTGTTAATCAGAAATAACATGAGGAGACAGTACAGTGGTGCCTGTGGGGGAAAGAAACATGTTCCTAAAGCACCAAGATGAAGAAACCTGCAAATATCAAAATCCAAAGGTGTGATTTCCTGCAGTGTTATTTGCTGTGTTTTTGGATTTTCCTTCATTTATTATCCTCAGGAAGTATTAAGATAATTGTCTTACAGTAAGTAAAATATTCCATTACAACTCCTATATTTAAGTACCAAAAGTAAGTACGCAGGCCTACTGGTACTTGTTATTATTTGTTGATGCTGCTTTTGTAGGATCTATCAAATCCCTTTTATACGAATTGTGCTGTCATTGCGTCGATACAAAGATACATCAGTGTCAGAATTTACTGCGGATTGTGTGATTGGCTGAACTGGAACAGCGATGCAGCGTTTTGAGCAGATTTTTTGTGGGACACCCTGTTTGTGTTTCATCATGGACGTTCATTATGTTGAAATGAGGAGTTATCTATAAGATTCCTCGCTTTATCAGATGAACTGGGTGGAGGGAACAAACCACACCTTATTTCTGCTTTATGACAGCAGTAAAACATTGTAGAGCCTTGACGCTGTGGATCCTCTCAGAGCTTTAGGCAGTAAAGATACGAGAATCTGTACATACGTACAGTTATATAATGGTAAAAAGATTAAAATGAGTGCAGTGTCCACATATGTTAGACATTGGAATCCGGATGTTAGAGGTGGGTGGGATGGACATTATCCTGATAAATATTGTCTTTGAGTATTGTCTTGTTAACAGTGTAATGTCAGCAGGTGACTCACCCCTCCGTATGACAGCGTCAGTTGACCAAGAAACTCAGACACCAGCGCCATGTTGAGTCGACCTAAAGGGAGTCAAGATGGACTTGTGATATATTTGATTACTGACCTTTTTCCCTCTAGCATATTCTATACCTTTCTGTTGCATTAAAGATGAATTAATGGCAACAATGACAATACAACAAAGAAAGCGGGTCAGACAAAATTTCCAAGAGCAAGGTGTTCTCATCTTTCCCTGCCCCACCGTCCACAACTCTACTCATACCCAAATAAATATATTGAATTTACTGTAATCTAAGATGAGGAAGAGCAGAATATTTTCTCATTTGAAAAACCAGCAAGTGTTTGGTATTTTTGTTGTCAGGAGATTCATCCTTTATTAAAATAGTTGCCGTTGCATCTCTAATTCCATACAGAGGATCAAGAAACTTCAGGGATTTTTTTGCGACTTCAATTCAATTCAATTTTATTTGTATAGCCCCAATTCATAACAGAAGTTATCTCAGGACACTTTTCAAATAGAGCAGGTCTAGACTGAACTCCTTATAACATTATTTACAGTATGACAGACAGACTTCTTTTCATAACTTTGAGTTCCCTCTTGTAAAATGTACTTCAATTATAGGATGGAGACAGAGTTACTGAGTCACATCAATAAAATCAATCTCAGTGACTTCCACCTCCTCGTATTAGTGAGGATACAAGAGTTTAACATTAAGAGCTACAGAATCCAGCAGGCTGTAAACGTTTCAGATAGGGGTGTTTGATTTATTGCCTGGGACGTGCCAGCAGGAGAGGTGTGTCTGCAGGAGAGGGCAGGGCTTCTGATAAGGAAAATGGATCACAAAGCAAACAGATCTGAGGTATGGAGCCTGTTATGTAAGACACACAGAATCATTGAACTTCAAAGAAATTACTCAACAAAACCCAACCAAGTTTAATTTAATACATTTGAGAAGAACTGGAAAGCATTCTCGACCTTGGACCCTCTTACAAAACATTAACAGGAAGCGTGTTAGAGTCAGCATTTCATCACCTAGCAACCTAGCAAACTCATACAAACACTCCTGAAGAGTTTCAGACCAACAGGCAGACTTATTCTTGTGCTTGTTGGTGTTTACTCGGGAATGTTTGCCTTGTCATTGCTGGAGAACCACACATGGAACCAGTTATATCAGTGATGGCTCTGGTCCAACATTTATCGCAATACAAAGTACAGTAGCAATAAATATGTTATAGATCAAAATGTCTGCTGTGATAAATGTCCACTCATCTTAAGGTTTCCTCCAATCCTCATTTCTGAGTTCTGTTTCCAAAAATGCATGCTTTGAATAACAATTGTGCAAGTTAGTGTTTGTTTAATAGCAACTAACAGAATACTTGTCAATGGATCCTCTCCCTGCAGCTCCATCCAGCAGGTTTCAAAATAAAAGCCTTCTGTCAGTGGTGAGTCAGTCTTTTTTTCTGAGTCCTGCATGTCTATGAATGGATTTGATTTGTCGACTTAACACCATGTTATTGTGAATGTCTTTTCTAGCAACCACCAGCAGCTGACAGGAATCCAGATGAAGAAATAAAGAAAATGTTCCTCTGCAGAGTTTCATAAACTCTGTTTATGCTTCCAAATAACAAGTGCAGCGTTCCATCACCTCTCTGTGATCCTCAGTAAATGACATGAACATGATACTCTGGTAATTACAGGCGGGCAAAGAACAGAGTGGGTCACACCCATCTACCAACTGACTGTTATCACATCTAAAGTCTCCTGAGTGAGATTTTAGCTTTTATTCTTATTCTGAAAGACTTGTTTTCCAGATGTTTCTTGCAGTTAAAGTAGCAAAAAACACCTTAATACTTATGATGTTTACAGGCTGATTATTCACTCCTGTGTTCTTTTAGCAGAGAACTGATCAAACAGACACTTGCAGATGTGTAATTTTCTTACCTTCAGAGAAGCAGCAGCAGTGAGGCAGCGAGCAGCAGCAGCTCCGTTATGATCCACGATGGGACAGGGTGTGGTGTTTAAATACCAGCTGACACACACACACACACACTTCCCTCTCGGAGTGCCTGGATGACTCAGTGGACTGGACTTTTACACATCAGACCGAACACATGGACATAAATTCCTCACTGAGGCTCAGATTGCCTCGCCTGCTTTCTGTCTTATTCAGGGAGGATACTTGTTTCTGATTGGTTGGCAGCTGTCCATTAGAGTAGTAAATGGGGATGTCTGAAACAGTTTAAGCACTTTGCTAAGTCAGAACTGTAGGTATCCAATATCCATAGCAACTACATTGAAATGATTAGTTAGGTGGTTAGGTTGGTTAGTGGATGAGAGCGCCACAGCCGGCAGTGAATACCGGTAACGGTAGACGGCACTGCTGTCCAAAGTAAATTTAAAACCAGATGTTACGTAGCTCCTTCACACAAGGAGAAAACATGTGGGTAAACAGTTTGTGTGGAGAGCAAAAGACCCATAGGAACCTCAAAACCCATCAGCAATCATCTGACGACACTTCGCTCCTCAGTTTATCAATGTTATTTTCACCAGTCCAGTTAAGCAAATACTGAACCGCCAGTATTGTTGCTATGGTTACCTGAAGTTTAATGCACCTTGAGCTCTGATTTATATTTAGATGGTTGAGCTGTTGACTGTTTTTCTTAAATTCATAACAAAGTTAAAACATACAGTCTCAAGTTCTCATTAACTGCTACTTAGTTCCAAAGTGAATTAATAAATCAGTTGCATGATTAAAACTTGATTAAGGTCTCAGTAAAGACTTTAGTAATGTTAAATCGGTTGCTAGGAAACATCCGTAAGATTAATTAACTATATACTGTAAACAGGATGTCACTGAAGCATCCCAAGTTAGCATCATTTCCAATAATTATAATTTATAGAGGCTCAAAGATAAATGTATAAATAGTTTTATATCTGTCTGCTTACACAGAGAATTCTGTGTTTCATAGTTGGTTATATTCACACAGTTTAAAGAGGGAAATATCTGATTATGCTAAGCTAAGTTATGTTTACTCATTTTGGAATTTAAACAGGCAGCTTTCCTGTGATGTTGGTGACCCCGACATCCAAGCTACTGCCACCCCTTCAGTGAGGTCACTTCCTGCAGTGATTCACCTGCACACTCACCTGAGGCTGTGGTTGTAAGGGTGGGTCGGTGTTGTTCACTCAAAACTGTGACTTAATGACCTTGATCAGATCCATAAAACCCCTCCTCTGCCCCCCTCCACCCAACCACACCCACTTAATCACTCACTGTGTAGGTAAATATTAGCAGAAATGGTTGACCAGTAATTAAATTACACCTCCTCCAGTCCTCCCAGTGATCCCACTGTATTGTTTGTAAACCACTTTAACATCGGATTTTAACTTTAAAAACCTTCAAGTAGCTTTAAAGACAGAGTAATGACTGTATATATGGAAACTGTTGATGGATTTCAGTGTAAATCTTTGGATCAAAACAGGAAGTCAGGGCTGTGACAATAACATCCAACTGTTGGAAAGTCTTTAATACAGCTTTGGCAGAGTTTCAGAGACACACAGGGGACTGGGGAGTGTTAGAGCTACCTGTGGAGAATCACAAAGACGTATGTTGTAAATGCCAAGTTTGTACTTACGTTCAATTGTATGTGGAAGGACAGGAGGAATTCTCCATAATCATTTCATAAGGTCCAGTGTGTAGGATTTAGTGGAATGTAGTGGTGATGTTTCAGATTGCAACCAACTGAACACAGCTTTTTCTGTTTCTTTCACATACAAAATAAATGTTTCTGTTGTGCTGCAATAACCTGTACTCAAATCACATCATTTTTATTCTATTTTATTTACTACTACACTTTTAATGTGCAGGCTGCACATTTAACAGTGTAGTAGTGGATTAAATAAAATATGTTACACCATCATCCACCTAAACTTGAAACCAATCCTATTTTTAATGTAACAGGTACCAGACTAGTTATACATTTGACCACTGTGTCAACCATAGTATCATACCAACAGTGAGAGGTACACAGGTGGCGCACTGCAGATGTGTAGGTTTATTCTCTGTTACATTAAACAAGGAAACTTCAAACACACACAGAAAGAAATTTGCAATATCCTTTGTTACAACTTAAAACATTTCTTTTATTAAGTCAGTTTTAGTCCCATCAGCTTCCACAAAATGGAACTAACCTCCTCATTAAGCTGGTTGTGCTGGATAGGCTCTGGTTGTGCGTCTGTTGTCACCACTAGTGTTTAATATCTGACCTGCTCCCTTACTGACAAACATGTCAGTTATTTTACAGCACTTCGCTGATCTGTGGCCAGTGCTTTTAGCTTTTTAAGCCTCTCCCTCTCTGCTCCACCTTTCCTTTTGGGCTGTCGATCTCGCTCCATTTTTCAAGCATGTAGAACTACAGGTGAGAGAGGGGGGGGGCGCAACTTGGTGTGTGTGTGTGTGTGTGTGTGTGTGTGTGTGTGTGTGTGTGTGTGTGTGTGTGTGTGTGTGTGTGTGTGCCTGCAGTGCTGTGACAGAGAGCCTCAGAAAAAGAGAGGAGGGTGTGTTTGTGCCCAACGTTGCTGCTCAGTCTGTGTGAGCTTCAGTGAGGCAGATACCCTAATGAGCCGCACGGCGGATTGTTTATTTCAAAATCCAGCGTGACCCAAACCGAACCTTTGGTCCCAACCGTCAGCAATCACAGAGCGGGCCAGTTCGGCGGCCAGGCCACCGGGAAATGTCCCGGTGCTCCCGATGGCCAGTCCACTGGAGACAACCCTGAACCCCAGTACCCCACACTCCCACAGTACCACAGAATATCCCAGGAGTCACAGCCGTGAGCCGTATCCAAGACTACACAGCACATGTAGACTGTATTGGCAAACTCCTCTGACCCCCTCTAGTACTAGATCCACTACAGCAACATTATTCTGTGTGAGGACCATAGTTGTGGAGGTTTGAGCAGTTTTTAAAAATATAAATATAGGTGAATATGAGGTGAATGCAGAAACATGCAGTTACTCAGTGTTCAATATGAACCTCTGACTGTTTGGCTCTGATCAACTGGACTCTGCATTCTTTCCTCTGTTATGTAACACAAAACTCTTCCACTTAAAGAGGAAACTCCTGAGGACAGAACCAGTGTAAGCGGAAAGCTCTATTGTTTTCACCAGCAGCAAGACCTGACAATGGGCTCTCCTCACTTTTGTGGATGATATCTTGAAAACCTGATGGATATTCATCGTCCTCAAAGACAGATTCCTATGTTATGCCAGCTCAGCACCTTTCAAGAATTCCTTGAACTTTATTTCTTCTGCTGCTAAAAGGATTTCAGAGATAATCTTTGGTATTCGGCCAATAACAGTGTGTGAAACCAGCGTTTATACAAATAAAGTATACATACACAAACTGCCTGATACATGAAGTCTCCAGGTAATTATTGAGAGGAAACTGTTTAAGATTGTTTTTGTCATCATTAAATAGTTCTTGTTTGATTTCTCTGAGCATGTTTCTATTTCTCCAGATCCTTCACACACTCAGCAGGTGTTCTGTATCGCAGATATTGATTCGTTTCTCTCTGATAAAGCGTTCCTGCTGAGAGGTTGTGTAATCCAGAGGAATGTGAGCTGAACTCACAGGGAGGAACTGAACTCTGGCTGTGTTTGAGTACAACATACACTCAGGCTCTGTTGCCATGGTAACACAATCAAAAGCTGTATATCATCAGAGATATGTGAACTAAGCCCTGATTAAATATATATTATTATTATTATTGATTTATTTATGTACCAGGGACAATATACATTAATCAACATTGTGGTTTACACTTCAATGTAAATGTGCAGGAGCTAGCTAATAAGCTAACTTTCATCCATAGTCCCTGCAGTGGGTGACTCTAACTGAGAACACTGCCTGATCTTGCTACATCTGTATTGTTCAGCACAGTCCCCTGTGGTAGCTGCCCTTGTTGCTCTACCGCTGCCGTCCTTCTGCTTTATGAACTGGCTCAGTGGGGGAGGGACAAGCCCATGAAAGACTTTAGAGACGAGGTAAGCATCTGCAAGTGTATATATAAATAATAAAAAAATATAAATAAAAAGGCTTTTGGAAGAGTTTTGGTTTGATGTAGTTCCTTTTGAAACAGGAAGTGGAGGCGGGATGTAACACAGGGAAGCAGTTGGGATTGGATGGGCGATGGGTGAAGGAGAAAAAGGGACAATCAGGAGGAAACCTGTGGATTGTGGTCATCCTGGGTATCCAGCTGAGTGGGGCCACTTCATCTGTGCAGGGAATCAGCTTCAGGGTAGAAACGCACACACTGTCCAAATGCACTGTTCAGCTGTGAGTAATGAGCACCTTTGCAAGCTATGTGCATCTTCAGTTTGCTGGAAACTTTTTTCTTTAATTCACAATATCACAAAGGTTTCCAGTTGTGTGAGGTGTGTAAGTTGTTGTGTGGATAAGACCAATAAACAGACTTTGTGAATAAATCAGTTTCTGTGAGTTGAAGGTCCAGTTTGTGACGTTAAGGAGGATCTACTGGCAGAAATGGAATATAGGTATGTTTTCATATAGAAGGAACAAACCAAACACTGGGTCTAGATAGGACCTTTACTGTTTCTAACTAGAAGTGAGAAGTTACACTGATAGATGCCACTAAACCCTCCACACTTCCAGTGAAGACCTGAAAACTCTGTGAGGAGACTGTGATCTTCCTCACACTAACACATAAAACTATGAAATGTCTGATTTCCTTCTTGTCTTCCGTCGTCTGACCTTTGTCTGGAGCTCTTTTATGACCTTTTCCTCTTCTTCTGCAACTGTTTAATGGCACAGACTGGAGAATTAGCTCCACCAGCTGTTTATCTCCATCAGTCACTCCATCAATCACTCAACTCATATTCAACAGGAGTGGATGGAAATGGTTTCATTTGGAAGAAAACTTTTCGTCTTCACTCCTCCATCAATAATAACTGATCCTTGTGTTTCCGAGGCTCCAAACAGAGCGGAGCTATCGTTCAGTATTAAAGGTTGTGTTCAGGTCTGATGTGAATTACTGTTGCCATGGTTACCATGGAAACACAGTCAAAGTCATAATCTGTGAGTCATATCTGTGTGAGTGTGTGTGTGTGTGTGTGTGTGTGTGTGTGTGTGTGTGTGTGTGTGTGTGTGTGTGTGTGTGTGTGTGTGTGTGTGTGTGTGTGTGTGTGTGAGAGTGTGTGTGTGTGTGTGTGTGTGTGTGTGTGTGTGTGTGTGTGTGCGTGTGTGCGTGTGTGTGTCCTCAGTGAGTATAAACTGCTCAGTCTCTGTAGCGTTTTTATCAGAAAGACTTTATTTGGAAACAGATGAGGAGGTAAAATGACACCAGCTGCTGCTGATGTGAGTTTAATCTTTGAATCACTGAAACACATCATTCTTCTTTTGTCCCCTCCTGTCTTTCTTTTTCTTTCTTTCTTAGACTTTTTAATCCCTTCATTCGTGTTTCCTCCTTTTGGATTTTCTCTCTTTCTGTTGTTGGCTTTTTCTTTCTTTTCTTTATTCTTTCATTTTCTTGTCGTTCCCTTCTTCCTTTCCTTTATTTTCACTTCACAAAAGCAAAAAAGTTACCAAAACTGTACATTTGAGTTGTTTGTAGTTTTTTAACCCTCCAGTTAAATTACACTACTCTCTTCTTTATGAGCATTTAAACTGTAGATACAGGACTGTATTACTGCTTACACTGAACTACAGAACGGACGTATTTCTTCTACCAAAGACAACAAACTGCCAAAGAACCATTAGAGGACTGATTTGAACCACATGACTTCCACTGCACACACAGACACACACAGACACACAGACACACACAGACACACACAGACACACAGACACACACAGACACACAGACACACACACTGATGTTGCAGTTAACAGATTCTCCACAGGAGGGCAGTGTGGGCTCATTTGAGTGTCCATGATGTGAGTTGTCTGACCTCCATTATTATAAACCCGACTAAACCAAACCAGAATTATACATTTTATCAGGTCAAAGCAGAATTTAAATCTGGTCTTGAATCTTTGCAGGGAAACAAATGGCTGTCAGATCTTAATTTTACAGAGTTATTCAAGGTTTTACTCGAGTATTCCCAACTTTATACTTCTACTCCACTGCCTCTCAGAGGGAAGTATTGTTCTTTTTACTTTATTACATTTGTCTGATAGCTTTAGTTATTTTACACACAAAACATATAAAGAGTTTATTAAATATGATGTTTCATTATCAATTAAACTACAGTTTATAGTAAGTACAGCTGAAACCATCAACTAGTAACTAGTCAATTAATCAATAAGTTGAGTGACAGAAAACTTATAATTTGATCATTGTTTAATCCCTATTTTTCTGCAAAAATATTTTAGTTACAGCTTCTTTAGTTTCACAGTAACTACTACAACAGTAACATCCTGCTTTTACATCACTGCATGAGTAATATTAATTAATTAAATAATAATGATCTAATGCTATATATATTATAGTATAACAAAAAACAGGGGACATTTCTGTGCATTGAGTACTTTTACTTTTAATATTTAAGTAAATTTTCCTGATTATTCTTACTGTACATACTTATACCTAAGTATCATTTGTAATATAATAATAATATAATAATAATCATGCATTGAGGACTTTTACGAGTATTTTCACAGGGATATTATTACTATTAGTTAAGTAAAGGATCTGAATACTTCCTCCACTGTAAGGATGTAGGAAGGGAAGAGAGGAGGGTTTTTCTCCTGTTTTCTGATGAACTTAAAAGACAAAACATTATCTAACTTTTGTCATTTGATTTGATTTCCATCTTTTAATATCAGGAAATATGTGAGAATATAGTTGAATGTATCGTCTCCCTCCATATTTATCTGAACAGAAAACAAAAATATGGAGAACTCAAATTAAAACGCAACAGCCTTCGGTGATATCAGGGGTCTTGAGAGGTTTTGGATATGAAAAGTTTGGTCTCACCTGACGGAAACAAACCTGGTCTAAAGTCTCCTAAGGTCTGTGATCTGGTTCAGGTAGCTGAAGCACCTGAGCACCAATCCTCTGTTTTGCTGACGCTGGACTTAACCTTGTTAGCAGCTAATCCTCCTCAGGGCCACATTAACAGCTTTAACCTGGAGCTGCTGCAATATGCTCCCAGCTGAGCGGCTGGCACAAACACAGCAGACAAGACACCACGGCTCTGTATGTGTATCAGAACCTGGTTTATATAGAAAAAAGATTCAAAACTACTGCAGACAGTGAAACAATACATCAGAGAAATATACTGTAATATCAGAAGCAAATGAATACAATAGAGGATCAGCTGTAACAGAGCAGAAACAGATAAATGGCCGAGCAACCGGTATCACGCCAAAGTGTGCAAACACACGACGGTCCACCGTGGCAGTGTCACATTTTCTATTAAATTCAGTTTTATTTGTGTAACGCCAATTCATAACACAAGTAATCTCAGGACACTTTTCAAATAGAGCAGGTCTAGACCGAACTCCTTATAGCATTATTTACAGAGACCCAACAGTACCACCATGAGCAAGACCTTGGAGACAGCAGCAAGGAAAAACTTCCTTTTACTGTCAACATGCTCATTCTCTGGTAAAGTTAGAAATAATAAATATGCAACGTCCGGTTATACTTTCAAAATAAAGCTTACTGAGGTTGTATTTTGGTTTAGACAACAAAACCTACTTGGTTACTCAACACTGATTTTTTTGTTTAGATTCAGGACTTTTACTTGTGTTTTTACAGTGCGATATTAGTGCTTTTACTTTTGTAACACTGGCAGAAATGTCATATAATATTTACAGGTTTTGTTACTTTAGAATGAGACATTTATATGAAGGCCGCAATGTTGAGCCGCCATGTTTCTACAGTGACTCAGAACGGACAAACCAAACACTGATTGTAGACTTTAACACATTTTTAGTGCGTTTTGCGGCCACTGTAGTTCCTCCTTTGCGCTTGGAAATGGAGGGTAAAATGAGAGAGTTGCGATTAGCAACTATGCCGCCACTAACTCCTACTCATTGGATCTTTAAGGATCTGAATAATAAATAACAACTGGTTTTAGGAGTGAACTGATAAACTGGTGGAGGAACTGTTTTAAGGTGCTGACCATGAGCCAAAACATTCCCAGTTCAAGTCAGGATGGATATTTTTACATATTGTTATCAAATGCTGAAAAAAAGCCACGTAATTAATCTTCACTGGAGGTGATGATTCAAGAGAAATGTAGTGCTTACTGCTGTCTTCTGTCTTCAAATTACTTTGGACAAAACAAATAGATTTGCAGCTGTTGAGCTCCTTCCGTTATCAGTCACACCATCAGGACTGAAGCTTCAATCCAATTTCAACACAACACTGTTAAAACAGCACTGAGCTCTCCAATCCTCCAAACCCAAACAACTGCTGCTCAGTCCAACTGCTGATCCTCTGCGAGAACACATGCAGGGAGGTTAGAGATTGAATTGATTTAGTTTTTTAAAACAAAGCTCACAGGATCGACAGTGGCTGATGAGGGAACCAGTGTTTTTATTTAAATATACATCCGTTAATTTAGTTAACAAATTAACTTGCAATTTCTACTTTTTATTTCCAGACCATCTCAGAACCTACGAACCACCGTAAGGATGTTCAAGGAGTTACTTCTGCGGCGTTTCTTTCCAACATGGAATACATTGATTAATCCAGTTTAGAAATTTTGTGGTAGTGAATATATCATCACCCTTACCCATACTTAAATATTTTTTTATTATTGTCTATTTCAATCTGTTTTATTTATGTAATTTCATATACAGAATGCATACTGTAGTGTGTGTGTGTGTGTGTGTTGGTATACTGTCACGTCTTTGTTCTATTTGTTGTCTATTGTGTTAATTAATTGCCCTAACTGCAAATAAAACATCTTACTGATTTGTGCTAAGCTAGGCTAAACATTTTCATGGACCTTCCTCTGACTAAACAGAGTAATGAAACTGATGTTCATCGTCTCGTCTAATTCTGGAGAAGACGACAAATCACAGGATTTCTCTGAACATCACAGTGTTTCTGTAAATCCTCTCTCGTCTAAGATAACCCGTCAGGGGTTTTATTCCTCAACTTGTTCAGCTTGAGGACTTGTGGTTCGGTTTTTCTCAGGTTCCCTTCATGTTTCAGCTTTTGGGAGTCTAATCTGAGCCCCGTCCCACCCCGTTCTGTCTCGCTCTGCCCTTCGCTTCCACAATAATCCTGTTAGCAGAGTTCTTCCGTAATCCTCCCACAGTGTTCAGATCCCTGCAGGTCTTCACAGCTTCTTCACCGCAGCTCTGTGGGATGTTGCTGGACCCTGACTGAACAACTCAGGTAGGACAAAAGACCACCAACACATAGACCACACCCACTTACACCTGTACACCACACCTTCATAGACACGGTGTAGCTGTGGAAATGCTGCAGAGTAGAGTGGATAAGTTGCTGTGTTTTGGTTGGTTCACTTCATTTTGTTTGATTTATGATGTGATTTGTCATGTTTTTTTGTTGAATTGGGGTTTGAAAAGACAGACCAACCAGAGGGTGCAGCAGGGTTGGAGAGGTTCAGACAATATTTCAGTCTTAAAAATGAACTTGTGACCCAGAGTTCTTACTGAGGGGTCCCATTAAGTTGAGGAAAACAGGATGGCTGCAGTTGGTGCCTTTAAGAACCGTTAACCCAGTCTCAACAGTCTGGTATCAGAGCAGAGTTTGGGATCTCATATTGGTCTTTCACAGCCATGGTGTCAATAAGATACTGAATAATCTAAATGTTTTACTTGCATTAAAAATCCACCAAAGTGTTTGTTCGCTTAATAAAAGTGTTAATTTATCTTTGAGCCAAACGGTTTGGACCAACAACAACCTCGATCACTCAAACCAGAAATGTGGTGTGCTTTTTTTCTTCATGTTAAAGACAAGGTTTTCCATATCCAAAGCCTCTAAAGTTGATTTTATGATTGATGGCTCTATAAATTGACTTGACTTCTTTAGCCACTTCTTTAGCCACAATCTGCCCAGTCCAAGGTGTTGATGTTGGCCCAGAGGCAACCAAAGTGCTGCAAACTAGAGTCCATTCTGAGCCCAAATACCCAGAATCTGGCAGCCATATATGGGCCAGTGCCAGCTCACATTTGGTCCTCCGGCACTGGAACACAGTCAAGTGTGCCGACACTCACTGTTGATGTACTGAAAGTCCTGTCTCCGGGGTGGAGGCTGCAGGCTAAAGGGTTGCCTGGATGATGGCCTGCTGGCTAATTCCCTAACCAGCTAACTAGCTAAAAGGCTAACTTATTGGTCAGCCAATCAGCCACACTTTGGCAAATCTGCAAACTAGTTAACTGTCTGACTGCTTGTTGACTGATTAGCTGGTTGGAATATTTTATGACTAGAGAACTTTTTAGCTAGCTCATTTGACTGACTAGCTGATTATTAAATACCAAGCTGGATGACTGTTTACCTGTTTGGTGCATTGTCGGGGACAGGCTCATTCGCTAATTACCTGATTAACTGAGCTATCATTAACTAATGGTTATCTAAATGTTGGGTTAACAGGCTAAATGTCTGACTGTCTGAGTGTTTAGCAGGCTGACTAGTAAACTGGCAGATTATGTGAGTGGCCAACTTGCTAACTGACTAAGCAGTCGACTTTGAAACTGGCTAAATGCTTAAAAAGATAACTAGAAAGTGCAAGTGGCAAACGACACCAGTTTTACTGGATGCACTGATGTCCGGTTGTACAGTGACACAGCTGTTTTCTGCTGCCAGACCTCCTGTGGCGGATTAGGGTCATGATCAGTCAGGTCTAATCGAGGCTGACACTCAGCCAGACATGATCTTAACTCCATTAAGTACAGTACAGAGAGAAGCGGGTCAGCAAACGCAACAGAAATAGAGCTGATTATTTTTGCTTTCTATTTGTTTGTCCAAGAACTTTTTACCATGAATATTAAATTTGTAAAAGAGGAGCCTTTTTACAAGCTCATGCTCTTTCATTCCCAGCAATGTTCAAACAAATTCCATATAAGCAAAACCATCTCATCACAAGATCCATTAGTAGTACTGGTGCTTTAAATCTTTTTACAAGGTCTTCACAGCAGATACATTACAGGAAATTTTGTAGGTTTTTGAAAAAGACAAAGAAAACACAAAAACTAAAAGTTTGAATACAAAATAATTTGTCCATGTTGTGTGAGACTACAGTAATGTTCTCTGGTTGTTTGTTCATCAAGGATGTTGAGCTGGGTGGTCAAAGTCGTTCCCCAGCCGCCTGAGCCCCCGTCCAAAAAAGTCGATGAGCAGAAGGAGGAGAAACCAGCCGATGCCCCGCCCCCTGTTGCTGCCCCTCCTCCTGTCGCTCCCCCGCCCCCGCCCCCGCCCCCTGTAAGTTTACGTCTCTTGATTTCCGAACACTTTTATACATTGAACACATTTCATATCTGGATCTGGATGTTTTGTTATATTTGATAGTACAGCCTATGTTAAGTTTATACAAACTAACGTAGTATTTATTTACTTACTTCCACTGGGGGAAAGACGAAATGTGTATGTTTTGATTGACAGCTCTTTTAACATTAAACACATTTCTGGATTTTGATATTTTGATATTTTATCTCCTACACATACAGCATCATGATTTAAATGACTTTGTAAAAGAGGGTTTTGATATGTATATATGTTTTACTTAAATGAATAATAAATGTTGTATATATGTAAGATTCCATTAATTAGTCTTTTCAACAGGAGAAGAAAGTGACATTTCAAGATGACAGCAAAAATGAAGGTAAGATCGCTCACGGTGAACATTATATGGTTTATATTGGTCCTGTTCTTCACACTCAACATACATTACTATTTTATTGACAGCTGACAAACCCAAGCAGGAAGCACAGGCAGCAGAGGGGAACGGGTGAGTAATATACAACAATATTAGATATGACGAGAACCAAAGTCATCACAGTCAACGAAGAGAAAAAGATAAAAAACACGTTCATCAAACAGGATATTATAGAAGGCTTAAATGTTATGTTGCAGTGTGAATAATATGTTATGTATGAATGTGCTGCACACTTGCAAAGTCCTCTCAGCACCAGCTAAGGTAAATCTCAATTTTATTGCAACGTTGGAAATTTGTCTGTGATAGTAAAATAATTGTAAATGTTGTTTGGTGCGAGGCCTTCAGAGTGATCTTCATTTGTTTCAGAATAAGTTAGTTAAATTACTAAATAAGTTGGACAAATGACTTTCAGGCTGATGGAACATTTTTGATATATTGGGATTTCAGAATAATGTGCCATCGTAAAAATGGGCAGTTTCCCGTTCACTGGTAACGTGCTAGTTAGCTGGGAACATGCTACTGTAGGGCTAACCTGCCAAACTAGCTGCCGCTCTAAGTGCCAGTTAGGAAGCTGACTATCTCGATCGAGGGACAGTTTATACTCGTGCAGGACAGGGTTAAATAAAAGTGGATGAACACAGAGGTTACATTGTGGTGTTTCTAGGGGGAACTGTACGCTGTCCTTTAGTGAATCCTCTTCTGGACTGATGGCTTTTTCTGCTCATGTCAAACTTAAAGAGGAAGAGGATGCTTGTCATTGGCTTTTATGGTCATTTTACTGGTTGTTCATGTGTGCCCAGAAGTTCTGCTTCTTCCTTCTGGTTGGAGGTTTATAGTCCCAATATGTTGAACAAAGCAGTATAAAAAGTTGCATAGTAGTAACAACAACAGTTTTTACTTTTCTTACCTGTTCTAGTTTATTTTAGTGTATTTTTATTGATCTCTTTGTAAGACTTGATTTTTAGAGGCTGAAACTCTTTATCTTTATCCTTTATAATGTTTGTCTGTTGTATTGAGTTGTTGGTTATTTGCCTTGTCTTTTACTGCAAACCAAATCTACCTATGAGTACAAATAAAGTAACCTTGATCCTTAAGTTCATCCATTGCAGTAAGAGAAATTGCTGGTTAGACCCTATAAGATTCTTAATCTATACATTAATATATGTCAACGTGAATGTTTCTCTCTGCTTTGTCACATTAGCTAAATGAAATTAAATATCTTAACTTGTTGACTACTAAAAGTTAGTAGTGTTTTTGGGAAACTAATAGTGGCAATATCAGGCTTTAGACGAGCTTTGTGACTCTGCTTCATGAGTCTCCTTTAACTGTCCTGCAACCTGATTTAGTTCATCTGAAAAACATTTCATTTTGATTTGCATGCTCTAATCTGGATTCCAGCTTAATTTGAGTTTTGATTTTAAAACAAGGCACTTTTTTCAAACTGTTTTCAGCCCAGTGCCTGGCTCTCAGCCCGGTGTGCTGCTGTGGATCAGCGGCGCTCTGCCTCAACCCGCAGTCTCACCAAAGCTGAGCCGAGCCAACTCCACCACCAAGGTGAGGATCAGATACTGACCCGGGATCAGATTCTACAAGACACGTTATACATACACATACCTGTATTCCCTGATAACATTTTCCATGTCTTTCCCCTCCTTCATCACCTCTGTTCACAGGAGGAAACTGCAACAACCAGGTATGTACAGTGTGTGTGTGTGTGTGTGTGTGTGTGTGTGAGAGAGAGAGTGAAACAGTTCAACCAGGAGACCAAGAGAATACTACAGAATAATTATTTAATTATGTATTGATAATGTATTGATGATACAGGAACACTGGCTCCATACATTTCATTTAATACCTGAGTGATGGATTATAATTGTTTTATACAGGTTTTGATTATATTTGAAGTTGATTCGATCTTACCCTCAGTAACTCGAGACTTGACTTGGGGGAGTCGAGGGCGTCTTAACAACAAGACAACAAGTCCAAGTCCCATCTCAAGTCTTTGAGTAAGAGACCAGATCAAAATGGAGGCACATCCCTTGTATGTTTCAACAACATAATGAGAATATTGGATGACAATATGTTCCTGGTTGAACATTTTCCATTAACTAGATGTGTTAGAGTGAAAATAGTTTACTGATGTTCCCCCTGTGTTCTTTCTTCCCCGTGGACGACAGTAAACCCGAAGACGAGTGAGTAATCTCAGCAGGAAACAACTTAATGCCAAATACTGAGCTGCTTTATAAACCAATTAACAGACATATTGCCAAATAGTGAGCTGCTTTATAAAACCATCAGCATAAATATTGCCAGATAGTGAGCTGCTTTATAAAACCATCAGCATAAAGATTGCCAGATAGTGAGCTGCTTTGTAAAGCCATCCAGAGGCACAATGCCAGATAGTGAGCTGCTTTATAAAACCACTACAGTAGCTTAAATACTTTCTGGTTTTCACTGTGATGTCCTCCGGCTGCTCTTCCTCAACTCTCTGTGATTTATGGAGTTTCCCTGAAGGAGCCACTAACTAGTGGCTGCTGTTAGCTGGTTAGCAGTGCAGCCAACTTAGCCGTCCTATTGAGTAACTCTCCCGGACTGAGCGCTCAGGGCATCGGGGGAGTGTCAGGGTTTAATGTTACCTCTCTAGTACAGGAGCCCCAGGAGCGCCAGTGCCTCCAGTGTCCATCATTAAACTCCCTGAGAGTTGAGGCAGAGAAATCACACGACATCAGACGAAGAAACAGAAAGTCTGTAACTTTCCCTCACAACAGAAAAACCACCTTCTGCAGACAGAAACTTGAAGTGTTAGTCTCGAGTCTCGAGTCCCGAGTCCTGAGCAGAGCGGCCCATAACTGAGACTGTAGCAGCTGATCTGCAGTGTCCTCTGGTGTCCAGCAGCCGCCTGACAAAGACATCAGTCAATTCTGTCTTTCTGTTTTTTTTAACACAGAAAAGGGATGATAGCTTGGATCGCTCAGGGTTTGGAGAAAGTTGTTCCTCAGCCTGATCTGAAGAGCAAAGACTCACCACCAGCTGAGCAACCCGCTGAGGTACATCAGCAGTAGATAAAGTAGATAATTACACTCCTGCTTCTGTTCCACTGTCACTTCTCTGTAAAGAATTTCTGTTATTTAACATCCTAAAAAAGATCAAACATGATTCTGGGATTATTTGGGAATATTCAATTAGCTCAAATTCATATTGACTTAAACACACTTTTTATTGTTATATTATGCCAGCGGGAAATGTTTCACATTTTAGGAAAATATGCTTATTTGGTTTCTTGCTGAGATTATCAGATTAATATCACTCTCATGAAGCCACAGCCAGCAGCCAGTTAGCTTAGCTTTTAAACTTTAAACCAGAAAACTCCAGAATAACCATGAAAAACGGAGCCATTTAGGAATTACCTAAAGAGTTCTGGTCTGGGATATTTTACTCATTTTCAGTTTTTAGGGTTAACCGAAATTATTTAAATAACCCTACAACCAAATGTACTGTAACTAATCACTTTATCCTCCAGAGAAACAGAAGACATTATTAACTCAAGTAGAACTAAATATGAAAGGTAAATCTCCCACAATGCCCTCTGCTGTGTGACTTCATGTGTTTGTTTATCCTCAGGTGTTTTTTTTTAAATCTTTTCTATCTAAGTATTTTATTCTATTGTTGTATTTTATTCTATTGTATCTTATTGTATTTTAATGTACCTGGCTGCTATGACGACCCAATTTCCCTTAATTAAAGGGGTTAATAAAGTCTATCTATCTATCTATCTATCTATCTATCTATCTATCTATCTATCTATCTATCTATCTATCTATCTATCTATCTATCTATCTATCTATCTATCTATCTATCTATCTATCTATCTATCTATCTATCTATCTATCTAGGTGTGTTCGACACCAGCTGCACCAGGTGAGAATCTGATCTGAATATTCCTGCAGACAAACATTCAGAGACTGGATGTTAAATAAATGGTTGGTTTCTTTCTGCTGCAGAGCCTCAGGTGGTGGAGGTGGAATCAGACAGAGAGAACAAAAATGACAACAAACCTCTCCCACCCAGGTCTGTGTGTGTGTTTCTGGTAGAACTTTATAATACAGCCTGTAATTTACAGTTTAATATTGTTGTATGTATCAGCTACAAATAAAATACTTAGTGGTTCAAGAGACTTACAGTTGGGAATTTAGCTATTAGGTAAAGTTGCTCTGTCCATCTGACAATAAACGGATATAGAGCTACACAGTGGTTGTAATTGAGCTTTTACGGAAATAATACTCAGCACCTTCCATAGACTGTGTAAATAAAGATGGTCGTAGTCTTGTTGACGTCCCTAATAGGTTTCTGAAAAGCCGTTGTGAAGCTCAGTGTGGTCGGCTCTCGCCGTCACCATCTTGGCATTCCTGACTCCACCAGCTTATCCAAAAATGAGACAAAGAGGTGGAGCGTGGGTGGAGCTAAGGCGGGCTGAATGAAGCCTGGTTACTGAAAACAGACGCCTGCGACTGCAACATCGACATATACGAAGACAGACGACATGACAGCTTTCCAAAAGTGAATCCTGAACCTCTCTGTCTCCCCCTGGTGGCTGACTGCAGTATAGGTCATAAAGCCCACTGCTGCCATTTTAGCAGTTGGGACAAACAAAAATCAAAGTATCAAAATTTCCCCCAAAGATGGTTTCTTGAAGATATAAAAAGTGGGTTTCATGTTATGATTGACAGCTGAGCCTATTCGGTCGGCCAGGAGAATTGTTGGTACCGACCCTGATACTGCGCAGACTGTGGCTCCGAATGTAGAAGATGACAGTGGCCACGTTGTTAATTATGTATAACTTTAAGCCTTAATATAATTTAAAGGGGTGAGTTGTACAGTTGTCATGAACAAGGAAATTTGATACAGAGAACAAAAGGCTGTAAAGTTAGACAGTTTGGGGCCTTATGGAGACTCACTCACTGCTGGAGCCAATCTCTAATGGACGTTAGAGGAACTGCAGCGTTTGTGTTAGCTTAATTTTACGGCCACAGAGGTTGTTACCATCTGGTAAAATCAATTTCTCCTTTCCTTTAAAATGTCCTCTTTTGACTTTTTGCCCCAAAAAGACTACGGCCATCATCTATTATCTATAAAACATTTATTTAGCTTCTAATTTTCTCAATCCATGAAGGAACATCTCATTCTTTGGCTTAACAGAAACATTAAAATCAAGCCCACATTCAGAGATACGTGGTTTTCCCTGGAAAGGTGGGTATGAAAAATTGTGTTAAGTCACTAATTACTAAAGCTGTCAGACAAAATAGTGGAGAAAAAGTACAACATTTCAGATGTAGTGGAGCAGAAGTATAAAACTGCATAAAATGGAAATACTCAAGTAAAGAACAAGTAGAAAGAGAAACAAACAGGGACAGAAATAGAGAATTTGGCTGGTTGCATGGGGATGTTTTGAGCAGTAAAGTCAATTATAATCCAAATCACAAGCAATATTCTAACTAACTAATGTAACTAATATTTGTGTGTGTGTGTGTGTGTGTGTGTGTGTGTGTGTGTGTGTGTGTGTGTGTGTGTGACTGACAGGATGATAGAGTGGCTAAAGCAGGGTATAGAGAAGGTGGTTCCTAAGCCAGAGATCCAAGTTCGCTCAAAGACAGAAGTCAATGAGAAGACTGAAGCTCCTGCTTCAACTAAAGGTACCTTCAGCTCTGTGTCAGCCTCAAATCCTCATTATAAACTCATGGTGATGTTTTTAAAATAGATCATGTTAGAGAATAAATATTGGTAAGTGTCTCCTGCTTCTTTAAACAGCAGAGGCTCCAGCACCAGAACCTCCTCCAGCCCCAAAACCTCCTGCAACCCCAGAACCTCCTCCAGCCCCAAAACCTCCAACAACCCCAAAGCCAGCCGCTGACACGGAGAAGTAAGATGTTGAACTTTTCGCACTAAAATAATAATTATTTTATGGAGACAGGAAATTTTAACTAAAATAACTAAAAATAATGTTGCTGAGATACTGATTATCTCGGTCATGATCCAAAATAAAACAGGTGGAATTTCTTTAAGTGTTGTACTTGAATATTTTAAAGTTATCTTTTTGGGGGGGGTTTGTTGGCTTTATTGATAGTGACAGCTGTAGAGAGACAGGAAGGGTCAGTGGAGAGAGAGGGGATGACACGCAGCAAAGTGCAGGTCGGATTTGAACTTGGGCCGCTGCAGCAGCTCTGTATGTGGGTCGCCAGCTCTACCAACTGAGCTAACCAGGCACCTGTACTTGAATACTTTATTTTTTACTTTACCACAATTTATTTGATGGCTTTACCCAATATTTTATTTAACTAGTTTGATAATCATTTGTCATTTGCATGTAAAAATGGTTCCAGCTTCTGAAATATTAAAAAATGCTGCTTTTCTGTTGAATAATTTTAATGTATTTGTAATCATTTTGAAGTTTAGTCTGTTGGTTGGACTAAAGCATTGTAAAGGTGTCACTTTCTTACTATTTTCAGAATTTGTACGAATGGTGAATAAAAAAGAAAAGCAATTTAATCCATAATAAAACAGATCATTAGTTGCAGTTCAATAAAAATAGTTCAGAATGCAACTGCAACAATAAAACTCTGCTGTTACATTAATGAATGAGTCATAATAATATAATAATATCATAATAATAATATGTAATATAATAAATAATAATAATAATAGCACTTTTTCTCTTTTTCTTTTGTCCTTGCAGGCCTTCCAAGGAGGGAGAGCAGCAGCCCAAGTAAGTTTATCCACCAGTACATTAGCAGTAGTGAACACAGCTTTAGCTGGGGTTCTTCCTATGGAAATTAAATTGAAGCATTTTAAAAAGGACGTTACTAGGAAACAAAACATGTATCATCTCTCATAATATCAGAATGGCTAAACAAGCAGCATAATATTGGATGCTAATTGTTTGCAGATATTTTACCCGAACTAAAAACAGTAGAATACTAGCTACAAACAGGTACCAAATCATCTGATATGCTAGCCAGTGTTACGCTAGCTTCAAATAAGGTTGGCACCACAGACATATATAAAGATCGACAGGACAGCTCTCCAAAAGTGAAGCCAGACCCTCTCTATCTCCCCCTGGTGGCTGACTGCAGTATATTATTTTATTATTCTTATTTTCCCACACTGAACATCGTAACCGTAGCTACAAACCGCATCAAATCTTATATGCTGACCAATGCTATGATAGCTGCAAAGCTAACGAGCAATATCACACTAGTTACAAGAAGCAAATATAATGTGTGATATACCAGCTGGTATTTGAGGATCTACGACATAAAGTGTTTGATTTGGTGTAACAGCTCGGTGTTGTCTTGACAGTATGGTGGGCTGGATCGTCAGTGGGATTGAACGTATTTTGCCTCAGCCTGTACAGAAGCAGGTGAGTCGCTGTATTTCATCTCTCACACATATAAATTCAAGTTAGGAGACCATCAATGAATGTGTCGTTACATTATTTGTTCCCCTCGCGCAGGATGCCAGCAGTGACGAGGTGCAGAGCGGTAAGTACCACCTTTCCACTGCTTTCACATGAACATTAGGATCTACTGAGGTTGGGAATCAGCATCACTGATATTTTAGGGACTAATTCCGCGTAGTTGTTGGCAGCTGGCTCTTGTTAATATACAGATCAAATATAGAGGTAATGTACAGATGCCACAGACACAACTTCTGGGTACACTTCACTATGAAGTTTGGACTAAAGAATTGTTAAGAGCTTGAAGTAACGGCCTGCCAAACCAGATGGTTGTGTTGGATGTAAATTAAACAGTGACGGTAGTTTTCTGTTACTGTTTACAATGTTCCCATTTTAAAAGCAGATTTGCAGAAGCTGAAAGTTTTTTCTGACCTCCAGTGGTTTAACTTCTCACCTGGTGATGATGTAGAAGTGTACTCCAGGGCATGTCAGTACTCTGTGACATCACCCAACATGGGTGGGGTTACGGGTGTCAGCCTTGTGTTAAATTCTTTTTTGCATAAACACATGCATGGATGAATTGATTGATTGGTTGATGGGTTGTCCTAGCTGTGTACTGATTGGCAGGGGCTGGTGTCAGTGGTGAGGCGGACTCTAACCGGGCTGCTCTTCTCCTTCTGTTTCAGGGGGGAAAGGCGGCAAGAGCCCCTTAAAATAAAAGGAGAAGGAAGAGTGGGACAGAGTTGCTCACACTGACACTGACAGCTACAGAAACTCTTTAACTGACTGAAGGACAGACAGACAAACAGACCGACAGACAGACAGACGGAGCAGTTTGTACTCCTCGTGATAAAAAGCTGCTCCACAAAGCTGCAGTGCTTTCAGGTTTTGTACAGCTATTATGCACAAGTAACTTCTCTTACCAAACATTTCTGGAAAAACAAAAATATGATGTTTTTTAAATGTCTGATCGACACATATTTGAACATGTTTAGACCAAAATGATTGTATGAGATTAGCCTCTTTGACTCTCTCTAACGATGAATATACAGTGGCAGACAAAACAACACAAGTCTCTGTAACGCAGAGTAAATTGTGACATGCCGATAAGTCTTTATTGGACTGCCCTGTTAAATAATCCATGGAGCAGTAAAGTAACTGCAGGGACAGACTGGTTCCAAATCAGCTTAAACTGTGATTATTCTGCCGTCAGTGCTACTTCATACTGGAAACTCACATAAGCTACTAGTTGCAGAGACTCTGGACTCTGAACTGACAATAATTCAGGACAACTTTTGCATGTTTACAGGCTTTTTTTTGCTGATGATAATATAAAGGCAGCTAACTAAATACAGACATTGCAACTCATTAAAGTATTTTGCTGTGTGTTCATGAGAATAAATACATCAGTTGGAAAAAAATAAGTGCTTTGTTGAGTGTTTTTGTTGTTGTGTTGAAATTGCTGGGAACAAGAATCAATCAATCAATCAATCAATCACTGAGTCAATCAAATAATCATGAAATGTCAGAATATAAAATGTGTATTCTGTTATCTAAACATCAACTGTGCATTGCATATTGATTTTTTAAAGTCGGGGTGGAAGTTAGTATTTAAGATTCATTTCTTTTTCAAGATTAAAAACATGAAATCATGAATTCTTTGATTTTTTTAAATAGAATTTGAGCCCTGCCAACAGAGTGTCAGATATCCTTATATTCCAGAATACGGACAAAAAACACAAATTTAAACGTTTCAGACATTTAGATTTCCAGTTGTTGATATGTGTCCAAACGCACATAATTCCTGAGTCCTGCTCTTCCTGCCATGTGGTGTTCAGTCAGCATCGTACAGCAGAAGACAGACCTGGTGCTGGAGGACATGGAACAGAATGCAGAGGCCAAACAGGAGGAGGTGAGTCTTACTTGACCCGGCCTGTAACCTTCAGGTAACATTCAGGATCAGTTTCAGAAAGACTGTAACCAGAGTTTTAAAGAAAATATGTATGTAATAAACAGTGTTGGGCTAGTAACTCTAATCGAAAGTAATATTATAACTTCACTTCTTACTCTCTGCCAACAGTAATTATTTACACTACTAGTGTAAATTTGGTTAAGAAAAATTGGTGCCCCTTCTCCCCTAAATTCAGATTTCTGATGATTAAAATCCAGTTTGTTATGAAAATCAAAGTAATGGAACTATTGTCCTCCACGATTACAAAAATGAATCCAAAGATGTGATTGGATTGTTGGATTCAGATTAGTAGGGGTGCCAACAAAGGTAATATTCTAACTAATAATTTTTGGGGGGTTGTAAGTGTAATATTATTACTGAAATGCATTAGTAATTAGTTACACTAGTCGTTACTGGGGAAAGTAATATTAATATTATTACTAGTAGTGAGTTACTGCCCAACACTCGTAAAGAATTATATGTTGTGATTAAATCAAGAGTATTTCAAATTTGATTCGATTCGGAAGCTGAGCCACTACTAAAAAGTGGAGTTACAACATTACACACCACATTGGTCAGAGAGGATTATCACTAGAAGAGTCACATGAATCAAATAGGACATCTCGCACCCTTCTGCTTAGGGTCGTGTTGAAGTGAAGTGACGCAGTTTCACATGATCTCACTATGACGATCAGCTATGAATTGAACTTACAGTTCCCACTTACAATGAGGGGGTTCTATCTAAAGTGGAAAATGAAATCAAGCGAGGTACCAAAGCGAGTCAAGTTAAGTGATGCTAAGCTATACCATACAGTTTAAATTAGGCTTAAGGGTGCAATGGTTGTAATTTAGGAAGGTAGGTACAATGGCTCTTTGAAGGGTACCACGATAGTACCTGGGTAATCACTGGGGTTTTCAGAGTACCAGGTAAATCCTGTTGTAGATACCATGGTGAAGAGTACTTTGGTAGTTTCAGAGTGGGTACCATAGAACTAAAATGGTACCATTATAATACCACAGTATTTACCATTGCACTTCCGCTATAAAGGTACTATTCTAGTCCATCCATTTGAAATGCTATGGTACCTACTGTGGTTCCGAGTTACCCCTGTTTAGGTGGTACTGGACCAGCTCTCCGTTATAAAGGGTCCGAGCCTCTTGCCTATGAGTATTACCCTATTATATTAAAAAGACTATTTAAGCTGGTGGCGAGGAGATACGCCTAGCTTCTAACTGCCTTCGTCCGAACGCCTACCCTGCTCACCCTAGTGCAGCACCTGACCGAATAGCCCTAGAGCCAAGTACCACACTAGTCACGTTTGTTAACGGCAGCTCTCCTCTTATTGATCTGTGCCGTTGTTAGTTGCTAGGATTATTTTAGTGGCTTGTACAGTAAGCCCCAAGGGTCTGTTTAATTCCTTTGGCTAGAGTAATCTGTTAGAACCGTTAAGTCTTTAACTTCAATGGTTATTTTTATTGCAAGATTTAGCAAGGGCCAGCATACAGCATGTACTGATTCAAAAAAAAAAAAACTGATTGTTTACATTCACTAATGATGATTAACTATGTTTCTAATATTAAGTAAATAATTGTTTAAATTTCAAGCCCCTGATGAAAAAGGCTTGTAGCTGTTGAGAGAGAGGGAAGAGGTGTACCGGCCCATACAGTTCTTCCAGGCCTGCCTTACTGTTGGTTGCTGCTGAAACTCCCGACTTTGTCCAAAGTCCGCAAAGTCTCTGACCAGTGCAGTCTCTAAAGGCAGGGTGAACGAAAGAGTGATCCTTGGTGATCAATTGGAACCTGCAGCCAGGGGAAGATGGTTATTCCTCCTCTGCCCGCCGCTCCCGTCTCGGCTATAGGTTGTTGGACTTCTCTTTCTGCGATGGTGGCTGGTTCGTTGCTCTGTCTCTTGAGTTGAAATTCTAAGTTCAAAGATGAGTTCCTCCAATGTGGTCGATCAATCAGCAACTCTTGAACCCAAGAGCCAGCCGAGGACTAACCACGATCCTCCTTGTGTAGCCCCTTTTATCCCCCTAGGGTGTTCGGTTCAGGGCCGTGCCACTTCCTCTTTTGCTCCTCACAAGACGGTCCTGTGTGTGCGCTCAACTTCACAAGCTGTGTGTCCGCTGTGTGCGCTCAACTTCCCCGTTCTCTCTGTACCAGACATGTGTGGTTGCAATACATGCCTTTTCACCTAGTTACTCAAGACTTGAACATGATTTGCTCTCTTGACTAGTTAAAAGAGGTTTGATGGAGGAGGTACCATGGTACTCTAGATGGTACAAGGTAAATCCCATGGTATGTACCATGACACTTTGAAGGGTACCATGCTAGCACCAAGAGAGGTACCATGGCACTATGAAGGGTAGTAGGATTGTACCATTGTAGGTCCCCTGACCCTTTATAAGGCTGCCGTGGTAGTCTAAGACTAAGCACCATAATACTTCCAAGGTTAGCACGGTAGTACCATTGTGGTGCAATAGCACTTTGGCTACAAGGGTACTACACTAGAAGTACCCTTCAAAGTGCTAAAGTACCTGCTATGTACCTACATTAGAGGGTACCACGATAGTGGCAAGGGAGGTTCAATGGTACTCTAAAGGGTAGCAGGTTTTACCAGGGTAGGTACCATGGCACATAGGGTACCATTGTGATAATAGCAACAGTACTAAGATATTTGAAAAGTTACTAAATAGTAATCAACAGAGATGTTTCCATGTTAAGACAATGTGAGTGAGTTCCCTCTCTGTGGTTGGTTGCAGACAGACACCCAGATGATGACTCCAGTAACAGACAGCATCAAGAAGGAGGCTGGAGGAGCAGTTTTAGCTCAAATGGAGGAAAGGTTAGTGACTACTCTCTCTGCCTAATTTACTCTATGGTCCTTTTTCTCCTTTTTCTCCTTTTTCTGTTTGATCTTTTTGTCCAACAAGTGCACTAAGAATGAAAAGGTCTCTCAGTTGACAATCCAGGGTGACAACTGAAGGACATTGTTATTTTAGGGTTTCATACAATTTTCAGCTATTTCTTTTTCAGTGCTAAGCTGGATTTCATCTTTCTCTTGTTTAGACTCAACATTTAACTGTAATCGTGACCACTTGCGTTTCTTGGTGTACAGACTACAGCAGGAGCGTCTGGAGGCAGCCCGCATCGCTGAGGAGATGGCCAGAAAGGCAGCGGAAGAGGCAGTCCGACAGCTGGAGGTGGAGCATTCAGCTAAGATCGTCATAGAAACACTGCCAGAGTCTAACGAGCAGTAAGTGACGAACACGTATAGGACACAGAAACAGAAACACATCCCAAACACTGTATATCCTGAGATGATACATCCTCCAATAACAGTCCTGTTTGTTCTCAACAGACTGCCCAACATCCTGGAGGAGGAAAATGAGGATGAGCCAGAGTAAGTCCATCTTCCTGTTGCTGTCTCATATACTGCTGTTATGTTGAGTTAACTGCTTCTAGCTACTGCTACTGCAGATTCTGCCTCAACTGAAATGATGGCTAGGTCAGATTCATCACTTGCAACACCTTTTATGTTGGGTTACATTTGGCACCCTTCTATATCTCTGTAGTGGATAAAAAAGGGATTCAATTCAATTCAATTCAATTTTATTTGTATAGGCCAATTCATAACAGAAGTTATCTCAGGACACTTTTCAAATAGAGCAGGTCTAGACCGAACTCTTTAACATTAATTACAGAGACCCAACAGTACCACCATGAGCAAGCACTTGGCGACAAGGGCAGGAAAACTGCCTGTTAAAAGGCAGAAACCTAGGACAGATCCTCCGGCTCTAGGTGGGTGGTCGTCTGTCTCGACCAGTTGGGGTGGAGAGAGAGAGAGAGAGAGAGAGAGAGAGAGAGAGAGAGAGAGAGCGACAGACAGACAGACAGGTGCACAGCAACAACAGTATTGGCAATGGCAGTCAAGCAGGACCATGGCAGGAGGCTCCACCAGGATCCATGAGAACCTGCGAGACGGAAAGCACAAGAACTCCGGGGAAGAAGTGGAGTTAGTAACATGCATTAAAGGGACATGAATGAGTGCAGAAGAGAGAGGAAGAGAGTAGCTCAGTGCACCATGGGAAATCCCCGATAGTCTGGGCCTATAGCAGCATAACTAAGGGATGGTTCAGGCTCACCTGATCCAGCCCTAACTATAAGCTTTATCAAAGAGGAATGTCTTAAGCCTACTCTTGAAAGTGGTGAGGGTGATGATGAAACTAATCTCTATATTCTTGTTTGACTGTGAGATATGAGGTATTAGGAGGGTTTGTTGTCGGAGTATTGCTTTATTGTAGTCCCTTAGAGAGCAGGTTTCCTATAGTATTGCAGCGATGCAAGTTACCTAGAAGTGGGCAACTTCCATGGTCTTTCATTTTCCATAATATTTTGTAAAATGTTAAGTGTTTGACATAAAGTCTCATCTGGCAGGAATGTCTGATCCTGATTTGGATGGCCTCTTGTCATCCCTATAACTGAAGTTCAAATGTAGTTCCCAATCACTTTCAAATGTCACTGAAATACAAACTAAGTGACTGATTATTTAACAAAAAACATGCATCTCAATATGGGAATTGTGTTTTTCTATAACATTGACTGTACTTTATTATGCCCTTTCTAGGCTTTGAGCACCCTCTGCTGGCAAAGTTAGTATTAAACCGCCATATCCTATTTTTATTTTACAAAAACCTGAAGCTCTGCTGCTCTCTGCTTGACTTGGATGCTGCTCAATGTAGCAACTACTTGCTCTCTGACACAATGAGCTGAACTGTCTGACAGGGGCTTTCTATCTTGTTTGTCCCTTGCTGCACACCGTTCAGGTTGCAGGACCTGCCGGAGGACAGTGAAGACAGCACAGACAATAGGAGTCCTGAGGAAAATAAAGTGAATAACAAAACTGTTGAAGAAGAGAAAAAACCAGACCAGTAAGCTCAGCCATACAAAGGCTTGCACCTGCAATTAGATGGAGGAATACTCCCATAATTCTTATGATTTGGATCTAATTTATCTGTAGACCATATTACATTATGTTAGTGCAGTCAGTTTAACGCGTTATTAACTGCGTTAAAGCAAACCCATTTTAACGGCATCAATTTTTTATCGCAAGATTAACACCTAGCACACTTTTTTTCACATGCTGTTGCAACAACTAGTAACGTTAGAAAAACTACAACACTACACCGGCTCTAGCTAGACTGGAAACAAAACAACAGGCACACCGCACACACTGTTTAAGAGTAGTAGACGTTACGTTTTGAGTGGATGGGGAGCGCGAGACGCCAAAATGGATGGATTCCTTGTTGTCTGAAAATGTCAACAGGCTTGTCTGTTGCTCAAAGCAAAGAAGTAGTAGGCTTACCTTTTATTGGTAACCGTTACTGTTCATTCTTTCTGAAATAAGAGGCTGGGTTGAGCCTCTGGTGAATAAATGTTCAAAGCAAACTTGAGAAAAGTATTAAGCCATCGTTTAACTGCACTATAGGGCCCTAGTTTACCTTACATGTGCACTTTCTAATTTTATTTTGTATCGCCCTGTTTTGATCCCTTAGAAAGGGCTGTTGAAGGGGCTGTTTGTGTGACAAAGTATTTTTTTCACAATTTTATTGATGGACAGTGTTACATTATGTGAGAGATTATTTGCTCCAAGTGAGAATGTTAGTGTGAAATTGAACACTACAGTATATGCCAATGTTGTTTTCAATAAAAACAACATTTGCACAAAGCAAGCCGATCCACTTTTCCATGTTGATAAGAGCATTAAAATGAGAAAAAATAATGGGACAAAAAAAAATCAAGGGACATTTAGAATAGATAAAAATGTGCGATTAATTGCGAGTTAACTATGACATTAATGTGATTAATCGCGATTAAATATTTTAATCGTTTGACAGCACTACATTATATACATTATTATATTCATAATATTATGATCCTCTTGTGGAGTTCTGTAAGAAACTCTAAGATGTCATATTTTGGCACGTGTACTTCCTGTGCATAATTTTTCAATCAAGAGCTTGTACTACTGTTGCTTGTACCTATTTCTTCTGGTCTTTCTGAGTGAACTGAAGTCCTGCACTGGGTAAACCTCCATGCATCTTCCAATCTTTCCATCTTTGCAAGAGCTGGTCCGTTGTGCGTCACTCTACTCTCCCTGGAAGTCCCCTTTAGAAACAGTTACAAACAAGGGTCCCACAACAATCTGAGGGCAAATCTGACCACTGCTGACCTTTTTTGGCTACCTTGGTGACCACTGCCAATAAGTTGGGCAAGGTTTCCTCCAAGTCTGCCTCATCCTCTCAGGGTGTGAAATGGGAGCTGAGTCTGTAAGTTGAACTTCTTCATTTACCTCACCTATGTCTGCGACGTGTGGGAAGTGACAGAAATTAAAGGATTTTATTGAAAGAACCATGTGGTTCGTGCATTGCTTCCACAAGCTCCTGTGGAGGTAAATTCAAACATGTCCAACAGGCAGGTGACCCTGGGGTAGATCCAGAATACACTGGAGAGATTACATAACCAATTTTATCATGGACTGGAAAGAAAGACAGACCTTCTTACAGTCTTCTTTTCAAAAAGCTAAAACACAACTCTCCAGTCCACATTTTAAGTTAAATGGGTATCTTGGAATTCTGCTAACTGGGGCTGACACCGATGAACTCACTTTAGCTTATAGAGGAACTAAGGCAGGACTTTGGTTCTAAATAGTTTATTTTTGCCAAAACAGTTTGTCATCTGCTGCATGTCTGTTTTTGCAAAAGCTATCCTCCTTACCTTCAGTGTCTCCTCGTGATTAAATTTGACTTTATTTGTGCTGCGTTTTGCCAACTTTTCTTCTATAAATCAGGCCAAACCCTACAAGATACGTAGAAATTTCTAGAGTCAGTTACTCACAGTTTCTCTCCAGACCGTGTGGATTTTGTACATTTGGGAAAATCATGTTCCCTGTCCATTTTTTAACCTTTATTGCTAACATTGTTCAGTTGGTTGTTCCTACAGTAAGTGCACATGTTGAATAGAGTATGATAAAGGTATAGTTAAACTTGCTGTAACAGTTTTGAAGCCATTTGGGGTCAGCAGTAACAACTTGTGAGCATGACATTGACATATATAATTTCAATACAGTGACTTTGTTAGCCAATAGTTGCTTATTTACACATCCAGCAGTTACAGAGTGACACATTCATTCATTTGGTGTTGTGTTTTTGTCACTTGATGAATGTAATTCCAACTCCCTGAATTTGTTACTGCACCTTCAACCTAAAAACTACTATCAGCTTACTTTACACTGTATCATATGAACCTTAAGCCTGTATTAGCTAAGGACACTGAAGATGCAGATGGGATTTTACAATAGGACAATAGGTCCAATTTATCTTACAGGACAATAGGTCCAATTTATCTTACAAGACATTTTCCTGGTTCTAAACATTACTAATCTCCTCTTGTACTGTAGCACTCAGCCATCAGTCTGTTTTAGTTCTACCAACTTAGGCCAGGGCCCTGAGAGTGCCAGCCTTAGCTCAATTCAACTCAGTTCAATTTTATTTGTATAGCGCCAATTCATAACAGAAGTTATGTCAGGACACTTTTCAAATAGAGCAGGTCTAGACCGAACTCTTTATAACATTATTTACAGAGACCCAACAGTTCCCACCATGAGCAAGACCTTGGCGACGGCGGCAAGGAAAGTCAGTAGTCAGTCACTTCGGTCCAGAGGAAAAAATACCCTGACAAATATGGATAATGGATTCATCTTTTGGTTTTGTTGACTTTATATGCATTAGCACCCCCTCTAAATGTCGCTTTACCTACACTGTATGTGAACATACCTTAACAGTTCCACAGGGGAGTTCTCCAACTGTTACGTGAATACAAGGATACCAATGGATTCGTTTTGTGGCTGCTTTTCAGTCATTCTTGACACTTGCTCGTCTTCACCAGGTGCCTGGTAGAAGTCTGTCCAGCCGAAGATGATGCCACCCTTTTATCAACAGATGTGGAGCCAGCATCGGAGAGGAGAGACCTGGAGAGTCCATCTTCCCAAGCTGTCACCCAACAACCAGGGTCACAAGCTCCAGAGGATTCAGTTAGTGAAACTCTACATCTAGCAGACATTCCTTTATACCACAGAGCTTCTTGTATTCTGTTTGGCTGGAGGGTGTTTTTCAGTTTCTGACATATTATCCTCATTAAGTTGATGCTTACAGCCCACAGCTCCTCCTGCTGGTTGGAATAGTGAAGTAACTGCTAATCCACATTTTTTGGCAGAATAGTTTAAGGGCAATTGTAGTTTATTCCCACTTCTGTCTTATTTTTACAGCTTTTCCCATCATTGCTATGAGATATAAAAACATTGTACTCACCAGGCTGCAATGAGATTATTGCTGATTGTCAGTAATGATTATTACCAATATTTCAGGGATTCTCATTTTAGGTTTTATCTTCTAACAAAGTAGATAAAATGGATAAACTGTTGGTTTGTTTCTAACCTCTCTAATCATCTGACTGCTGTTTTCTATGTTCCCAGATATGAACTTGGTGAGTACAGTGTTCTTGTCACTGATAGGAATGATGGACAAAATGACAAAAATAAAAGTATTCTTTAACTTTTGAGGAGGACACAACCAATACTCGGATTTGGTTGTTAGCTAGTGACCAGGTCTGCAGCAAGCCATGCATTTACATAAAAGTAATCACAGAGAAAAATTTACTTGATTGGCCACTGTATGTTATTTTTCAATAATACATGACTTATTGTGGATCATCCCTTGCCTTGCAATATTTCTTCTTCAAACATAAAAATATTATAATATTATAATATTATTATATTCTCAAAAAGCTCCTCCAACAGCTTCGTTTACACAAGCTTCCAACTGTATCACATGGACATCCTCATATGGAGTCTGCTCTATTGTCATGGAGCTGAATCTTGTGATTTCATCCGAAGTACTTTTAGGACACCATCTGCACGTTGGTATACAGTGAATTACAGGACATCTTTCTTTCTCCTTCTCTCAGGCCTGTGCAGCAGGTGAAGAAGAAGAGGGTGAAAACGGAGGTGAGAGTTAAAAATATTAAGATTTTTGCAACAGTATATAATATATATATATATATAATAACAGAAACATAAAAACCTACATTCTTTTCCTTCCCACCAGCTATGTTACTAACAAAGTGTCTTACTAGCTTAAAAATGGGTGTGTTTGAAAATTAAGATTTATTTGATTTGAATGGTTGCATTCAATGGATCATATGAACATGTAGGCTTGAGGTTCACCTAAATTAATTTGCATTTTATTAGAATTGTGAAGTTGTCAGATATTATGTCTGATTACAGGACAAAAACAGAACTAAACAGTGACGTCTGTGATAACTGACACAATTAATGAGCTTACATTTGTAACTTGTCTTTGACTCTGACTGTTTCTTCGTCCAGTTCCCGACATTTGCTCTCCGATAAAGAGCTTTCTGCTACAATTCCCACATGCTGCCGAGTGTCTGGAGAGCTGCAGGACGCTGATGCATCGCCATCACCTCACCCCTCCCAAACTGTCCATGCCGACCCCGCCGCCAGAGCTCACCCAGCTGACCCAGGAGCTCTTGCAGTTCCCCAAGCTGGCGCGTCAGTGCTGCCTGAGCCTCGTCAGCCGCTTAAGATGCCTTTACTCCAACTCCCAGCATCCTCAGCAGCCTTAATCGCGTCCTCCTGCAGCCGACCCTTAGAGAAACCTTATAGAAACCCTGTGTAGATGGAAACCTTTAAAGTGCCAAACAAAACCCTCTGCATCAATAACATCCTGCTCATCATCACTCCCATCATGCTCTGCTGCTCTGCGCTGCTTCACCATGAGTTGCCAGCTAACCACACTTAAGGTGATATTACAGGAAGTGGATGTTTGTGCTGTGCTAGGCTTGGCTGAAAATATTTATACACATCATATTGGATGGATGGAGAGTCGGTCATGTGAGGGTTACAAACACTGAATTGATAGTAAAACACAATATTAATATATTAATATTAATATAATATTACACCTGAGATGAATTTACAGGTCAGAAACTGGTAATTCCGATAGCTCCAATATGACTTGAACACGGCATAAACGACAACATCACCGCATGATTCTGAGAATAAAAAGAAACGTGTCAATTGATCAATCGATACTTTGGGAGACTAATCCAGAAACAGACTTTATGTTGTGATAAAATCTCTAATCTTCTCACTGGAAGCTTTAAGCCACTTCTCATGGTCTTCATCGGTAAATGGAATTGTTTTTTTTTACTTTTATAAACTACTGTACATATACTAAAACATATACATGCTAGCTATTTGTAGCTATGGTAGCATCAAATATGTTATCTGTATCTATCTATGTGTAGCTAGTTCCACTGCCTCACATTTTTTGCATGTACATCATACACACGAGCTGTACTGGGGTATTTTTAGATAATAAAATGTTTTAATTGTAAGGATGCCCTTCAGCCTCTACGAGTCGTCACTGCTGTAGGAAGATGTTACCTGTGGTCAAACTGTTTTTCTGTCGTGTTCCTCAGGGAGGCTGAAGGTGGAGGGCCAAAACATCCCCCAAATTATCACAACCCCCCAACCCCATGAGGACGATGATGAGGAACTGATGAGGATCAGTCTGAAGACCGGCAATCAGGGAGACCTGCTGACGGCAGATGAATGGTGAGAGACACCACACACAAACACACTTCATCCTCCAACTGTTGTCACCTCCGTCCTCCATGTTTTCTGTCCTGTGGTTGTCGTCCCCAGGACTCGTCCTCTGTCAGCAGCCAGCGTCGGCAGCGTGGTGATCCAGGACCGTCTGTACCAGCTCGTCGGGCTGTTTAAAGGTCGGACAGAGCACCAAAAGGAGCGGCTAGTGGACCCGGACGAGTCTGAGGAAGAAAGTCCCTCAACCTGTATGTACTGACTGTCCCAGGCTGAGAATTAACGTTTAACTCTGATCTGATTTCTTCAGCTTGACGTTCAGTTGATATCTGTGTAGAATCATCGGAATAACGTTCTAAGAATATTGTCTAATCTCTGCAGCCCCAAGCAAAGCTCCACCTCCTCCTCCTCCACCTCCACCTCCACCAGGAGAAGAGAAAAAAGAAGATGCTCCTGCTGCAGCAGAAGAAGAAGAGGAGGAGGACGAGAAGGAGATGGTGCTCCCATTTACAATTTTGGGACAGCCAGTAAAAATACCCAAGCTGCCCAAACTGCCCAAACTTCCTAAGCTGCCCGACTGGCTCCGAGTCATCGTGGAGTACCGCTTCCCCTCCAGCATCGACCCCTTCACCGGTGAGCAAAGCCAGGCTCTTTTCTTTATTCACACCACACGTTCTGGTATCAACTGAAATTAAACAGAGAGTTCAACATTTTGCTAATGCTTTAAATCTGTAAAATAGACCTTAGATACACATCTAAATTCAAAGCTGTGAGTTTGCTCTGACCAATATGATTACTCAATATAAAATCAGCAGGTTACTCGAATCACATCATGTTGTCAATATTGTAGGATATAGGGTAAAGGATAAAGAGTTCCGCGATCATGGTAGTTTCTCCTACACACTTGGAAGGAGAGCAGTATTCAATTGGTTGTGATCTGCAACTTCACCGCTATATGCCACTAAATTTTACACACTGGACTTTTAAGTATATCAATATCAAGTATTAGCATCAGAATATATTTAAAATACAAAAAGTAAAAGTACTGATGCTGCAGAATGGCTCAGAATGATGCATTAATTTGTTTTCAAGTGGACTATTTGTACTCTTATTTTCTGTATCCATCTCCACAGATCTGATCTATGTACTCTGGCTGTTCGTTGTTGTGGCGGCGTGGAACTGGAACGTGTGGTTGATCCCTGTCCGCTGGGCATTTCCGTACCAAACCCCCGAAAACATCCACCTGTGGCTGATGATGGACTACACCTGTGACCTCATCTACATTACCGACATCCTCATCTTCCAGCCCAGACTGCAGTTCGTCCGTGGTGGAGACATTGTGGTCGGTGAAACATTTCAACAGAAATATTTAAAAACTGACTTTTTGATTTGAGTTCAGCACAAACGGCTTCTCTAACCTGGAACTTTTTTATTTCAGTGTGATAAAAAGGACATGAGAGAAAACTACATGACCACGGAGAGATTTAAGGTAAGACTGAACCTGAAGATAAAGCAGACAAAATACTTACGTTAATGTTATATGGAAGACCAGAACATTAAAGCCATGGTTCCCAAATAATTTCAGTAATTACAACAAATACCATCACTTCAAAGCCATAAGATAGAAGTGAGTTTTAAGGAGAGTTTTTTTATTGTCTCAGACTTGTTGGTATTTGTACTCAACTTGGCCATTTTCAGAAGAAACTTTCTCCTTCAAAACAAAAACCATCGATGAAGCACTCTTGTACAGAAAATGGCCAAGCAATATTACTTACAATCGTATTCCTGGCTGCCAAAACTCATTGGAAACGGCAAAAGCATTTATGGCACAGCTTTTTTCTGTCTCTGCCTTGATTCTATCTCTCTGACTTCGGCTTGTCTTGGACTCAACAAAGGTGGTCTTAATAACAGAACAGTAGAATCAGCAGTGAAATAATAAAATCACTTCGGACCAGTGAAGAGCAGATTTAAAAGTTAAAAGTCTGACAGTTTTTAGATGTTTCGCCTGCTGATAGGAGAATAAAGTTGTATTGTAAACCTCACACGATAGCAGAGGAGCTAATACTCCGGCAGCATTGGACATGGTCACAATCATAGGTGAGAAAAGTGCTGAGACACTGAATAGTTAACTTAGTTAGCTCTGTTTGCGCTGTTAGCTCTGACTACAAGCTCGCTGTTCCTGCTACACTGCGGTGGTCAGTCTCTGCATTTGCTGTCAAGGCAGAGCCTGATGCATTTCTTAATTTTCTAACAGAATTAGTATATTTTCTTTATATCTGTTCAAATAAAATTTCAGTGTTGTTACACTGTGTTTGCTGTGTGTTGACAGATGGACATCATCAGTCTGTTTCCTATGGAGATATTTTACTATTTCACTGGAGTGAACTCTCTGCTGAGATTCCCTCGCTTGCTGAAGGTCAGGAGCTGTTTCTGTTTCATTGTTGAGACTTATTTTATGTCAAGAATACCAACTTGCTTTGCCATGCACCATGACATCCACAACATCCAAAACATTACATCATTATATATCATTATGTATTGTGCACATTTCATTTTTTGACACATCATTTGTAAATAATTATCCATGATTGGCAAAAAAACAAATAATAATTTTAAAGGGATAAACAACACCAAAATAATTAGTGTTACAGTTATGCTAAATTTGGGTACTGAGCCATTTTTTGGTCCAGTTCAGGTACTGGTTAGGTTAGAATATGTTCATGAATTGTCACATATAATCTAGAGATAATCTATTAAACAAAACAAAAGAGTTGGAATGTTACAAATATAATCTATATATAATACAAATATCTCTTGACGGACTATCCGAATAAAGAGAACCATAATGAATAAACCAACAAGAATTTTCCAACAGAATTTATGTATGTACTAGTGCTGTCAGTTTAACGCGTTATTAACGGCGTTAACGCAAACCCATTTTAACGGCATAAATTTTTTTATCGCAAGATTAACGCCTAGCACACTTTGTAGTTTTTTTCACATGCTGTTGCAACAACTAGTAACGTTAGAAAAACTACAACACCACTCCGGATCTAGCTAGACTGGAAACAAAACAACAGGCACGCCGCACACACTTGTTTAAGACTAGTAGACGTTACGTTTTGAGTGGATGGGGAGCGCGAGACGCCGAAATGGATGGATTCCTTGTTGTCTGAAAATGTCAACAGGCTTGTCTGTTTGAGTAACTGGCTCAAAGCAAAGAAGTAGTAGGCTTACCTTTTATTGGTAACCGTTACTGTTTATTCTTTCTGAAATAAGAGGCTGGGTTGAGCCTCTGGTGAATAAAGAGCAGTAGCCTGACTGCTATGTTCAAAGCAAACTTGAGAAAAGTATTAAGCCATGGTTTAACTGCACTATAGGCTGAGTCCTAGTTTACCTTACATGTGCACTTTCTAATTTTATTTTGTATCGCCCTGTTTTGATCCCTTAGAAAGGGCTGTTGAAGGGGCTGTTTGTGTGACAAAGTATTTTTTTCACAATTTTATTGATGGACAGTGTTACATTGTGTGAGAGATTATTTGCTCCAAGTGAGAATGTTAGTGTGATATTGAACACTACAGTATATGCCAATGTTGTTTTCAATAAAAACAGCATTTGCACAAAGCAAGCCAATCAACTTTTCCATGTTGATAAGAGCATTAAAATGAGAAAAAATAATGGGACAAAAAGAAATCAAGGGACATTTAGAATAGATAAAAATGTTCGATTAATTGCGATTAATTGCGAGTTAACTATGACATTAATGCGATTAATTAAATATTTTAATCGTTTGACAGCACTAGTATGTACTTATATATATGAGTAGAACAAGAAGTAGAAAACAAGTTAAGTAGTTAAATGCATTTCCCGATTGTTTACTGGTTATGTCATCATTAAATTTTTTTTAGTTTCTCTCTTTGGTATTGTTTTAATTTAAGTTTAGAGTTTTTGAAATTATATTATTCCATTATTCCATTGCGTATTTGCATTATTTTTCCCAGTTTCTTACAATGTATTTCAGTTTCGTGCTCATACTGCTGCACTGTGTGTTGAAGATGACTCTAGTCTTTTCACTCTCAGTACATGGCTTTCTTTGAGTTCAACGACAGAATGGAAGCTGTGATGAAGAAAGCATACATCTACAGGTGAGATATGTAATTTACAGTTGGACAAAAACCAAAGCAGGTACCAATAGGGGGTTCTGTCTGTCCTGTCTGAAAACACTAGTAAGGTGCTTTGTAAACAAAAAAGGGAAAACAGATGTCTCGTTAGCTAACACAATAGATACTGAGGCTTTTATACAGACAGATATCTGAGCATTAAAATAATCGAGCCTGCAAAGTGTTATATGGTTTGCTAGCAGTAGCAGTGACAGAAAAGACTCGTATAGATTTATATATATTTTTCAGCTGAGTGGGATCTGATAACTCATCAATAGTTCAGGTTCAGAGTCAACTTTAACACCAAAGCAGCTCAGAATAAGTCAAAGTAATTTTGCAGTCATTTGTTTTTAGTTTTACTCTGATGGAAGTTTGGAACGTTTTGTGACATTCAGGCATCAAAAACTGAAAAGAGGGGCGCCCAGTTAGCTCAGTGGGTAGAGCTGGCGACCCATGTACCGAGGCTGAGTCCTTGCTACAGCGGCCCAGGGATTGAATCCAACCAGCGGTCCTTTGCTGCATGTTATCTCCTCTCTCTCTGCCCCCCTTTCCTGTATATCTTCAGCTGTATCTATCAAATAAAGGATTTAAAAGGCCCAAAAAATAACTTGTATCATCAGCATACAGTTGAATGCAAACAGTTGGACCCCAGCGACAAATAACACATTTTAGTGATATTCTTTAGTTGAATAGATGTAAACACAGCCTCTTTGGGATATTGAACATAAAACACAATATTTTATGATTTTGAAGTCATAAATTTAACAAAAATTTAAAAAACAAAAACATCATCAAGTGCCCAAACATTTCCATGTAACTGTAGCTGTATACTGTGGCGCCCCCAGAAAATTCTTCAACTGGGTGATGGGTGGTCAAAAGCAGCTGTCTGGCTATGCATTTGTTTTTTTCTTTTACATAAACTATTAATAAAAAATAAACATTATTGGTGGTAAAGATAAAATAATAAGAATTGTATACAGCAACTTTCAAAAACAAGGCTAAAAGTGCTTTACAGTAAATACAAAAATAATCGTAATGAGCTCTACAACTAATGATATAAACAAGATAAAATAATTTAATAGATTACAACAAATACCATTAATCAAGAAAAAGACAAGATTCAAGGAGGACACTGAATTTGCCTGCCTGAGATCAGTATACAGGGAGCTCTCTCAAGGCTTTAAAATAAAAGCAGTAAAATCTTAAAATCAATTCTAAAACTCACTTGCAACCAGTGAGGGGTAGCAAGGATTGGTGTAACGTGGTCACCAATGACCCCAGAATTGATCCTTGAGGAACGCCACATGGAATTATTCTAGTGCATTAATTTCATTAAATGTTCAACTTGTTGTTGTTCTTGTGTTGTGTGTGTGTGTGTGTGTGTGTGTGTGTGTGTGTGTGTGGGTGTGTGTGTGTGTGTGGGTGTGTCTGTCAGGGTGATCCGAACTTCCACCTACCTGCTGTACTCTCTGCACATCAACGCCTGTCTCTTCTACTGGGGCTCCGACTATGAAGGACTGGGATCCACCAAGTGGGTCTACAATGGAAAGGGCAACGCGTAAGAACACGCCATCACTCTCTGAACAAGTTCACGATGTACACAGTAATCTGATTCTACTTCCCACTAGTGAACTGAAGTTTCTGACCACTACTGGCGCTATGATAATGTTTGTATGAGTGGTCCCTGTTTTCTTTGTTCTCAATGCTCTTATATGACCAAGCAGGGGTAACGAGATAGTTTCACAGTACTCCACTGATCTACAGGTGGTGGTAACACACTACGATATGCAGCAATGCACCAACAAAGTTCTTGTTCTTGTTCTCACAGTTACATCCGCTGTTACTATTTTGCCGTGAAGACGTTGATCACGATCGGAGGACTGCCGGACCCCACCACCGTCTTTGAGATCTGCTTCCAGCTCATCAACTATTTTGTTGGCGTCTTTGCTTTCTCTATCATGATCGGTCAGGTCAGTTCACCATCAAATTTTGTTAATAAAAGTGTTCTTTAGTACATGAAATAAATCCAAACCGTAAGAGGTATAATGAGATAAAGGTCCATGAGATTCTGGCCTGTATCTTTGAGTACTAACTAACTGGACTGCGTCCCCTCCGGGCTCAGATGAGAGATGTGGTTGGAGCTGCGACAGCTGGTGAGAACTATTACCGCGCCTGCATGGACAGCACCGTCAAGTACATGAACTCCTACAACATCCCCCGAGAGGTCCAGAACCGCATCAAGACATGGTACGACTACACCTGGAAGATCCAGGGCATGCTGGGTAAGAAGAAATCTAAAAAAAGATTGTCAAAGAAAATATTGGGTTTGATTCATGTTGATTCATGTTGATGGTTTGCTGTGTAACTTTATATTTTTATATATATGTATATTGGTTAGCTGAATGTTTAAAAATTCAACATATTATTTTCAATTCAATTTTTCAATTAAATTTTATTTGTATAGTGCCAATTCATAACAGAAGTTATCTCAGGACACTTTTCAAATAGAGCAGGTCTAGACCGAACTCTTTATAACATTATTTACAGAGACCCAACAGTACCACCATGAGCAAGACCTTGGAGACAAGGGCAAGGAAAAACTGCCTGTTAAAAGGCAGAAACCTAGGACAGATCCTTCGTTATATAAGAATCACATGTTTTGTATGCACAATTTCTATGTCATATGACATTAACAGTGACATTAAATGGAAATACTGAAGTACAGCAGCATACAGGTATACGTACAGTTACTTACTGTGTCTCCTCTGCAGACGAACAGGAGCTGCTGATACAACTTCCTACTAAGATGAGGCTGGACATCGCCGTGGACGTCAACTACGCCATTGTCAGCAAAGTGGCGCTGTTTCAGGTGAGGAGGACAGAAAACACAGAAATGAAACATAAACATAAAACATTTTGATTGTTGTCTGCAGAAATATTCTGTTTATGTTTAATATTAATAATTCTGTACAAAATGAGGAAGAAATTAGCTTAAAATGTCTGAATGAGACACTGAAATCTGTCTCTCTGTCTGTTTGTCTGTCTCTTTGTCAGGGCTGTGACAGACAGATGATTTTCGACATGCTGACGAGGCTCAAATCTGTCGTCTACCTGCCCGGAGACTTTGTCTGTAAAAAGGTGAGCACACACCTGTCTGAAGGGTTAAATCTGTTAAGGAGCTGCTGCAGTGTGTGTTGACCACTGTGTGTGTGTGTGTGTGTGTGTGTGTGTGTGTGTGTGTGCAGGGGGAGATCGGCAGGGAGATGTACATCATTAAACAGGGGGAGGTTCAGGTGGTGGGCGGTCCTGACCTGCAGATAGTGTTTGTCACCATCAGAGCCGGCTCGGTGTTCGGAGAGATCAGGTCAGAGTTGCTTCCTGTCATCCTATTAACCCAATTACATGTGGGACAGCCAGGTGGTAGACACACACACACACACACACACACACACACACACACACACACACGTATATGTGTATATATATGTACACGCCTGCAGCTGGTTGCAATCTGCGGCGAGAGGCCAGTAGATCCTTCACACTGGTCCTTTAAACGCTGCCTCCTTTCAGAAACATGATGTAAGAGTTGGTATATCTGCACTGTGCTGCCCCCACAGCGCCCAGGTGCAGTTCACTTTTACCCCCCTGGTGTTTGTGTGACAGCGCTCTGTTTCCTGTGATTGGTCAGCTTGCTGGCAGGAGGTGGAGGGAACCGACGCACAGCCAATGTGAAGGCGCACGGATTCGCTAACCTTTTCATCCTGGACAAGAAGGACCTGGCAGAGATCCTGGTGCACTACCCGGAGTCCCAGAAACTCCTCCGCAAGAAGGCCAAGTAAGTCCCAGAACAGCTGCCTGGCTCAAGGGTCAAAGTTCAGGTTGACACTGTAACACACAGGAAGCCCAGAGGATGGATCAGCTCACCTGTGTATCTCTCTGCTATGTTTTATTGATCAGCAGCAGAGAGTCAATCAGTGGAAACATTCACAATCCTTTAACACAGAATGCTAGCACCCCCTACAGGCGCCACCCAGAAACTCATGTTTCATTGTAATAATTCTTTTACTGGCTAAATTACCGCTGAGAGAGTGACTATAAAAATGTAATTTGATACAGTTATTAATTACCTGTTTCACCCAACCTCCACTAGGGGTCGCCAAAGCTTCCCCGGACGGGTCCGGTTCTCATACTGTGAGCATGTGTGACATATAAACCAAGACCAGACCTCAGAGTAAATGATATTTAAAATCAACCAATGCAAGGACTTTAAACCCGCTGTGATGTGTCTTCTCTTTCTGGTCCTGCTCAGCACTCGAGCTGTAATCAATGTAAAACAACGGATATATCCCCACAGCTCGGGAGCTAAAAAATACAGTAGAATAACTTTACTGACTTATTAATATACAGAAAGTTCTATAATTAAAATACAGTTTTTATCTTTTTAATGTTTAATTAAAGATATTTATAGTGTAAGACAATGATCTATAAATCCAGGTGAACTCTGCTATAATAAAAATAATCAGCCTTACATTTACAGCAGAGTGCTGTTATTATTGGATTGTTATTATTTTTAATCTGAATGTTAAAGGTTATAGAACTGTAATAAAAGTCATTATCCCGCGAAATTACAGTATTAACAGTATTAAACTTGAATTTAATAGTTTAATCTAAGTTAATATCTGCAGAAAATTTATAGTTTTACAAATGTATTTTAATCTTTTTATATATATATAAAAAAAAAAATCCTATCCTTATCCTAATCCTTATGATTATTTACAGTCACAGATTTTTCATTTATTTTACATTAAAAATGTAAATTCACAGCATATTTTTGTAAGAATAAGAAATCTGTAAAATAAAGACATGACATCAGAGTGAACAGAAGTACGGACAGAAACATTAAACAATACAAACATTGAAGTGATTATGATCGGGGTCAGAGGAAGAATCAGGGAATAACTTATATTTAATTATATTATATAATTACTTTATATGAATATAAAAACAATGAATATGAATGAAACATTAGTAAATAATCTTTATTTATACATTTAAAATCACATATTACTTCACAAAAGGTCTTAAAAATCATCAGATTTTAAAAGAAAATTTCAACCAAAACAAGAAATTTTTTATCTGAATATTAACAAACTAATTAATTTATTCACTGATTTTGTGTTTTTAGTCAGAAATATTAATAATAAATTAAGAAATAAATCAACCCCGCCCCGTTAAGCTCCTCCCGCCTGACCCGGTCTGTCCTGACCAGGATTAGTCCTGTAATCTGCTCAGGTGGTTCCTGCTGCAGACGGGTCAGTGGAGCTTTATCTCCTCACTCGGGTCATGGTGCTGCAGCAGAGCGGATGGATGTGCTGGAGGTGCTTCAGTTGGTACGAAACCTCTGGGAAGAGTTTGTGTCCGGACCCTGTGGGGGGGGGGAGGCGGTCTGTGAGTGTCCCTCATTGTTACCTCTGTGTCTCTGCAGGACCATGCTGACCAAGGATGTGAAGCCGGACGAGAAGAAGGGTAAAGAGGCGATGCAGGTGATCCCGGCCAGACCGGACACCCCCAAAATGTTCAAGGCGGCCCTGAAGGTGACAGAGCACGCCGGCATCGAGGGAACCTTCACCAAACTGAGGGAGACCTACAAACCGATGGACGGGGAAGAGGTGAGACAGCTCCGGTTCAGACAGACAGAGACTGATTACATATTATATATATTATATATTATACACTATACATTATATATATTTATACTTCTGATGTCTTCTGTGAGTGTTGGAGCCAGAGAACTGTCATCAGTCATTTTACATCATTTTAGAAAAGTATTAAACTGTCCAGGTGTGATCCAGTACACACACACACACACAGACACACACAACACACACACACACACACACACACACACACACACAGACACAGACACACAGACACACACACACACAGACACACACACACGACACACGACACACACACACGACACACACGACACACACACACGACACACCAGCACACACACACACACACACAGACACACAGACACACACACACACGCACACACACACAGCACACACGCACACACACACCACCACACACCACCACACACTATCACACACACAGACACGCACACACACACGCACACACACACACACGCCGACACACACACACACACACACACACACACACACACACAGACACAGACACACAGACACACACACACACAGACACACACACACAGACACACAGACACACACACACACACACACACACTCACACACACACACACACACACACACACACACACACACACACACACACACACACACACACACACACACACACACACACACACACACACACACACAGACACACACACAGACACACTCTGCAGCAGGTAAACATCTTCAGGTTCATAGATTCTGCAGTTTTAAATGAGGTAGAAGAAGAAAGAGTTTGTGGTTCAGCCTCTCCTCCCCCCCCCCACCAGGGTACGGTCCCTCCTCCCTCCCCGACTCACCGCCGCTCTCCTATCCCCCCCCTCGCTCCGGTCCTGGACGGTGACGACGCCATCTCCGAGACGGCCGACAGCTCTGTGGTCATCAGGATGACGGCGCGGCGGGAAGGGGAGGAGGTGCTCACCGTGGAGGTGGCGCCTGGGGAGGGAAAGGAGTGACAGGAAGTCGTCACGGGACAGACCCTGCTTACCCAGAATGCCTTTCTGCAAACCTCCAGAGAGGAGGCGTGGGTTTAGGGTGGAGGCGGAGAGAGAAAGAAGACAAACCCCAGTGCATTGTGGGTCTCTGCTGGATTTCAGTCAGGAAACACCAGAAAGTCGGATTTTCTTCTTCTGTGGTGCTTCTCATTTGCTTTTTAAGTGTCTGCCCCCCCCAGCTTTAATAGTTTGTTCCTGTTTGCTGTAAACTGAACTGAGATCAGTTAAAGCTGCTCTACTGTTCGACCCTGTAACCCTGCAGTTCCTCTGACGGCCACCAGAGGCAGCAGTCAGTCTCCATGACGACTCGTATTTAAACTTATATAATATTATTATTATTGTTATTATTATTATTATTGTTATTATTATTATTATTGTTATTATTATTATTATTATTGTTATTATTATTATTATTACAGCAGAAATAAACATCCTGGTGGTTTCTAGAGATAATACAGCTCCCTTTAAACTATATTAAACATTACAGCATCTGATAGCATCTGTTAGCATCTGTTAGCATCTGTTAGCATCTGATAGCATCTGTTAGCATCTGTTAGCATCTGATAGCATCTGTTAGCATCTGATAGCATCTGTTAGCATCTGTTAGCATCTGATAGCATCTGATAGCACCTGTTAGCGTGACAATGATGAAGGTTGAACGTCTTTTGTTGAATAAATTAGTTTTATGTTTTTTCTGTGTTGTTTTACTTTATTAAAGTTGTTATGTTGCTAACTACAGAAGCTAACTACAGAAGCTAATTACAGAAGCTAACTACAGAAGCTAACTACAGAAGCTAATTACAGAAGCTAATTACAGAAGCTAACTACAGAAGCTAACTACAGAAGCTAATTACAGAAGCTAACTACCCGCGGTAATATAAGCTTCATTTATCTGATCGCAGGTTTATTTCTTTGTCATTGATGATCAATCAGAACATTGATTATGTAAATATAAGTTTCTACTGGCAGCAGTTTGTTTTTTATGAATTCATTATTTACAGTTTATTAATATTTGTTTGTAAATTCATTATTTTATAAAACCAGATTCTGATGTAATAATAATTTAATGTGTAACATTTCCTCATTAAACTGTATAAACATGTTCAGTTGTGTGTTAGCTTAGCATCAGTCTGTTAGCTTAGCATCAGTCTGTTAGCTTTAGCCTCAGTATGTTAGCTTAGCATCAGTCTGTTAGCTTAGCATCAGTCAGTTAGCTTTAGCCTCAGTCTGTTAGCTTAGCCTCAGTCTGTTAGCTTAGCCTCAGTCAGTTAGCTTAGCATCAGTATGTTATCTTTAGCCTCAGTCTGTTAGCTTTAGCCTCAGTCTGTTAGCTTAGCATCAGTCAGTTAGCTTAGCATCTAGTCTGCTGTTTCACTCTTTTGGAACTTGGGTAATTTGTGTTATGTGATATTAGTCCCTAGCGTCTGTCGTGTTTGAACTGTTGGTCCTTGGTCCATGTGGGCGCCACAGGATGAATGTTGCATTCGAAGGACGTAGAAATGATTGCTGGGTGTTAGATTGTTTAGAGTCTTCTTTAAAAAGTTTAATGTTAAGCTTTAGAGCCTCGAGTCTGTTTGAGCTTCCTTTTCTCTCAAGGCATCGACGAAAAAAAAGGAAAAAAAGGGGAAAAAAAAAAAAGCATCAGTCATGTTAAAAAAAAAGCTTAGCCTCAGTCCTGTTAGTCTTAGCCTCAGATCAGTTAGCTTAGACATCAGTCTGTCAGTTTTGACCTTTCTAAATGCTGAGATTTAACCACAAGCTGCATCTGCCCATTCAGTCTGCACTGGTGGGGGAGCCCCCCCGAGGGCCCCCCGTTGGAAAACAAAAAAATTTTGTACAATGGGACTTTATGGGGAGAGGCCAGGCTCTCGGTGCACCGGCTCTGGTCAGTGTGTCTCTCTGCTGCCTCCAGCTGTGATTGATCTGTTATTAGTTTCCTGTTTCCACTGGCGGCCGTTCAATAGCTGAGCTCTAATGACGTTTAATGATTTTACTCTGAGTGACGATCAATAGAGCCTCAGCAGGTTGAGTTCAGGGACACTCTGTGGTTTTAAGGTTTTCTGCTCATTTACAGCAGCTTTAGGTTGTTGTTATTTAGCCTGGAGTCACTTTATCCTCATAAACCCTCTTATAGTTCCTCTAGCAGCAGCTAGGGGGCGCTGTTAGCTGCTGTTAGCTGCAGCTAGCCGCTGTTAGCTGCAGCTAGCTGCTGTTAGCCACTGTTAGCTACCGTTAGCTGCAGCTAGCTGCTGTTAGCTGCAGTTAGCCGCTGTTAGCCGCTGTTAGCCGCCGTTAGCCGCTGTCACTCAGGGCGAACTGTAGCTCGGCGTCTGGGCGACAAACCGCAGCAGCTCCGTGTTAAAGTTCAGGAAGAGCTTCAGGAAGAGGAGGAAGCTCTCATTGTGTCGGCCTCAGACGAAGACTAAAGACAATAACAGAAACAATGCAGAGCAGGAAGAGAAGAAGAAATATCTGCCGGAGCTCTTCGATGAAACGAACTGTGAGTGCAGAATAAAGACGGTCTGATAAATAAAGCAGTGATGGAACCAGTGTGTGTGTCTGTTTGACCACTGGGGGGCGACTACAGATAAACTGTTTCCAAACATCAAACTGAGACTTTATCAATTAAATGTTCTTGTTGTCTTTATGTTGTTTATGTTTGTGTCAGTTAGCTTAGCTGCACGGCTAACTTGTTTTTATTAATCACTGGAATCCGATAAATTATTTCAAATAAAACAAATAGTTGAAACTGATTACATCGAAATCAAAAGTTACACAAAGTTAATTTTTAAGTTACTAATTATTTAAAGTGACACTAACTTCACTTTGTAAAATGAAATCAGTAAAATTACTGAATCTATTTGATCAAGGATGTTTTTTTAACTTACAACATTTAGTTCATTGTACTTAAAATATTCAATTAAACCAGTTTCAACCATTTTTGTAGTTAATTGAACGTAAAGTCTGGTTTTACAGTGCTTTAAGTTTAAAAAGATTCTTTATGAAGCAACTTTTACGAGTTAACTTCACTTTGTACGTTACAGAAACATTCCTGAAGAACCTTTTTACTAGGTATTTTATTATGAGTACAAACTATCAGTAAAACAACTAAAGCTCTTTTAAATTTAAGACTTAATTTTGTCATCAAACATCAGGAATGTTTCTGTAACTTATAAAACTAAGTTAGTTTGTGTTCCCTAAACATTTTGATGTTTGAGTTAAATGAACTCCTCTGGTTTTTACAGTCATTAATGAGAACACTTTTCCCTCCATGTGAATCCTGTAACAACGTCTTCATGTGGTCCAGTTCCGACCCGCCCTCAGCTCTATAAAGTCTTTTTTTCTCTCGCTCATGCGCGCTGAATCCCACATGTCCGACAGTCCGTGAAGGCAGCAGCAGTCAGACAGGCAGCCGGAGCGACAGTCGGATCCTCCACCGCTGGAAAACTGCAAAGCACCGAGTGACAGGGCCGAGATTCAGCTTCTAACTCACCTTTAGACACCTGGACTCTCGATCCGACTCACACTGGGGGGAATCTACTGCGAGGAAGCGGGGAACGAGGAGGAGGAGGAGGAAGAGGAGGGAGAGGAGGGAGAGGAGGGAGAGGAGTCGCTGCTTGGGACCAGAGGTAAGGAGGAAAAAGTTTGCTTTCTTGAGGCGGGTTGTTGAGGAGGAGTCTGGTTGTGGTGGTTTATGGGGACGCAGCTGTTTGTGTGTGAGCCGGTGAAAGTGTCACACAGTGCAGATCTGATTGAAGCTCCCTGCGGCTCAGCCTCCTTTCATCAGACCGTCCAGCAGTTTCCACCGATTCAAAGCTCTTTTCTGTTTGTAACAAAAGAACCAGAGACCTCACCTGGTCGGTCCCACAACACAACACACACACGCACACACACACACACACACACGTGCTTGTGTTTCTATGGTAATGCTGATTACAGGCTGAAAGTATCGATATTTAATGATAATTAGGGGTTTTCATTGTATTGATTCTAATATAGTAAAAACAAATGGTGTGGTACGTTATTCTGCGTATAGGTGGCGCTCTGTGTTCCTAAACTTTTACTGTAAAACTTCCAAAACAAACACTCATCTACATGTTTGGATTAAATCTCTGTGGAAGCTCATTTGTGCCAATGTGACAGATTCTGTAAGTTATTATAAACTTTATCAAAATAATGAATAAACATCTTTATAGGTTTCTCATTATAATAATTTAACTCTTTTTTTCCATCACATTGGCGGTAAATGTCTTCCATAGGTCTCCATTAGAGGTCTGGTATGGATTTTATGGGAATTATCTGGATGTATAAAACCTCTTAAAGCTTTAGATCTCCAACACAAATATAAATGTTTAAACTTCTGTCAGTATGGATGCTGCACAGCGTTGGATCAGTCAGATTCTCCACAGTTTAATCGTTGGGTTAATTAATTAAAGTATAATTCAGATTTACACTGTAAACAAGAGAGACTCCCTTCGGTCTGTGTACATTCCTCCATCATTATATATATATATATATATATATATATATATATACACATAATGTAGTCTGTAAGAGTCCAACAACCAAAACAATCAAAGGTTTCATTGTAATAAATCCAAATTGTGAATATTGTTATACGAAGTCTGTTGTTTGCCGTCTGTTTGTCGTCTGTTCGCTGGCTGAGTATTTCCATCTGTGCTGAAGAGTTTGTGTTGAAGGTTTTATGGTACATTTAGGTTTTATTATGACCAGTGTCGGACAAGTTACTAAAAAATAGTAATTAGTTACACGGGGTGTTTATCTGTCCGACATGTATCCGGATACCTGAGCTACGATACGATTCAGGGACAGTTTAATAAGGAACAATGTATCCGAAAATCTTTACACCGCTATTAGTTGGTTACTTCTCTCAAAAGTAATGGAATTATTTTACCAATTACTGCATATAAAAGTAATTAGTTACTAGGTAAAGTAACTTT